TCTCAATGAAACTCATTTCTTGAAAAGATTTTGATATTCAAGATTAACTGAACTTCATCAGAAGTTAAAACTGTGGTAACAACAAATATATAAATGTATCGCACATTCAGACCAATGAACCTGAGTTAACATTATTTGGTGTGCTGTGCATGAAGCAGAACGTGATTGTCTACTTTGAACTTTGGCACACTCCAGCTCGGCTAACAGCTAAACTATCATACGGGAAAACTGGTAGGCTTATCACATAATGCATAAAACCAAATCTTTGACAAATTAAGAAAATGTTAAATAACTTTATACCAATACACATTTGGCAAGGGCTGTAACAGTACACTGAAGTAAGACTATGCTGAAATGTGTCTGAAGATAGGAAAATCTAGGCCATGTGTGAATAATAGTGTACACACCTCAGGGAGGATGAAATGTCACAAAGAAATGCAATCTCAACATGCATTCTCACAATACTTGGTTCAATCCAACGTTTACCAAGAAGGGGATGTTTCCCCAAATTTAATTAAAATCTGATTTTTTACTCAGAAATGATAGATGCATCTCTCAATGAAAATCTGGATACCTAAATAGGAGACTGTCAGCAGACCCGTAAGTGTCAAGGCTTCCAAATTATCATTAAAGTGAGCATGGCATACATAGATGCTTATCAGATTTTCGTATAAAGGGTGAACATTACTGGAGTTTTGATAACAAAACTGTAACTCCCCACTACCATGGTGTGGATAGTGTTTACAACCATGCATGGAATGTTTGAGATTACCAAGATAACACGTTCAAGAACCAATCAGAATCATGGGCTCTCCAAGGTCTGAGACAATGGGTTCAAGAACCAATCATAATCATGGGCTCTCCAAGGTCTGAGACAATGGGTTCAAGAACCAATCAGAACCATGGGCTCTCCAAGGTCTGAGACAATGGGTTCAAGAACCAATCATAATCATGGGCTGTCCAAGGTCTGAGACAATGGGTTCAAGAACCAGTCAGAACCATGGGCTGTCCAAGGTCTGAGACAATGGGTTCAAGAACCAGTCAGAACCATGGGCTGTCCAAGGTCTGAGACAATGGGTTCAAGAACCAGTCAGAACCATGGGCTGTCCAAGGTCTGAGACAATGGGTTCAATAACCAGTCAGAACCATGGGCTCTCCAAGGTCTGAGACAATGGGTTCAATAACCAGTCAGAACCATGGGCTCTCCAAGGTCTGAGACAATGGGTTCAATAACCAGTCAGAACCATGGGCTCTCCAAGGTCTGAGACAATGGGTTCAAGAACCAGTCAGAACCATGGGCTGTCCAAGGTCTGAGACAATGGGTTCAAGAACCAGTCAGAACCATGGGCTGTCCAAGGTCTGAGACAATGGGTTCAAGAACCAGTCAGAACCATGGGAGGTCTGAGACAATGGGTTCAAGAACCAGTCAGAACCATGGGCTGTCCAAGGTCTGAGACAATGGGTTCAAGAACCAGTCAGAACCATGGGCTCTCCAAGGTCTGAGACAATGGGTTCAAGAACCAGTCAGAACCATGGGCTCTCCAAGGTCTGAGACAATGGGTTCAAGAACCAGTCAGAACCATGGGCTCTCCAAGGTCTGAGACAATGGGTTCAAGAACCAGTCAGAACCATGGGCTCTCCAAGGTCTGAGACAATGGGTTCAAGAACCAATCAGAACCATGGGCTCTCCAAGGTCTGAACAATGGGTTCAGAACCATCAGAACCATGGGCTGTCCAAGGTCTGAGACAATGGGTTCAAGAACCAGTCAGAACCATGGGCTGTCCAAGGTCTGAGACAATGGGTTCAAGAACCAATCAGAACCATGGGCTCTCCAAGGTCTGAGACAATGGGTTCAAGAACCAATCAGAACCATGGGCTGTCCAAGGTCTGAGACAATAGGTTCAATAACCAGTCAGAACCATGGGCTGTCCAAGGTCTGAGACAATGGGTTCAAGAACCAGTCAGAACCATGGGCTCTCCAAGGTCTGAGACAATGGGTTCAAGAACCAATCAGAACCATGGGCTCTCCAAGGTCTGAGACAATGGGTTTAAGAACCAGTCAGAACCATGGGCTCTCCAAGGTCTGAGACAATGGGTTCAAGAACCAATCAGAACCTTGGTCTCTCCACATTCGGAGATAACTGTTTCAAGTACCAATCAAACTAATGGGCTTTCAAAGTTCTCTCCTGACATGGCCTTCCAAGAAGGCATCAGACCTTGATGCGGAGTGGAATCCTATTGAAGATCTGACCTTATTGATGAACAATGCCTTACCATACACTGTACCCTTTATGTGTACTTGGCCAATGTCTTTCACGCGAGTCGTGTACACAAATGTAAAGTTACAGTTCTACTGTCATAGTGTACTGTTACAGCCCTGAGGCATGGTGTAAAAGTCAACAACCTACTGACAACGTGTAACCTTAACAGGCAGGGCTTGATTTAAGGAAATGAAAACTACTTGCATGTGGTGCAGCCATTAGGATTACTGTTACAGCCATTATGTAAAGAAGAAGGTAAGATAATAAAAGAAGTTGTTATCCATAAACAATCTTACTTTCTTATTAGTCACCAACTTCTAAATGCTAAACAAACAGATCATTATGTAAAGACACTAATTACAGTCCCTGTGAAGTTTGGAGCTACACCTTTATGCAAAGTATCAGCCATTGTAACACATTCAGGCCACAACTTTGAAAGAATGATATCTCAAAAACGAAATCAAGAAATCAAACATATACATAAGAATCTTTGGCAGGGCTTGAAATCAAGTCACCTTTCAGCATTGTAGTGACTTGGACTTTGGACTACACAAACAGTAGATGTTACAGGAGACCCTATTGCCAGTGTAGCACAGGTAAAGTACTGGCAAGGGAATCCAGGTGTAACGGAACTCATCGATTCATTATCACAAGTCCCATTCAGCAGAAATGGTAAGATTCCTTCTGAACCTTTTCCAAATGTAGTGTTTGACTGGCATTGCCAAGCTGAAAACCTTGACGCCTGGAAACACCAATAGAAGACAACTTCTTTCATGTCTGCAACATTTCAGGACAAACGATGAAAGTTTAAAGATTTCCCTGAAACACTCTCCATCAGAGATTAGTTACCCATGGAGATTTAGTGTTATTGTTTTAATACATATCAGCTCTGTATTCACCATAATAAGTGTCCACTGGCATGACAAAAGGGTTAGCAGTATATCAAACCATACACAGGTTACATATTTGTATAGAAATCAAATTGTAGTGAGTAAATAGGATTAAAATATAACATTTTTTTCCAAAATAGTCACTATTAGGCAATGGTATTCCTGTTTAGACCTGCTGTCTTCTGCACTAATTGTGTCAGAGACAAGGATGTTTAAACTTTTGGTCTTTTCTTGCTCATACCGGGAACTTACATAGATTACCTACAGCCCGATGCAGTCTCATCAACATGAGAACAACAGCTCTTGCTGCTTCAGAATCTAAATCCGTCCTGAAGACTGGAGTTGCATAGCTATTAGTTACAGATGCCAACGAGGGAAGACTGTCAACCTAAGATTTTCAAAGGCAGGGAAAATCTATGAAATGGCTTGTCAAATGGAATATTACATTTCCCCCAATAAGGGTCATGTAGTCAAAATACTGTGAACGACAGTATCAACAAGCAAAACATTAAAACCAACCACATTAATGCATAGTTCTGGAGTGACTAGAAACCTTTTCTTTCATACATTACACAAATTACTTTGCACTTTAACCGGTGTTTGTCGAATGATTTCAAAACTATAGTTCGTTTGGCGCAAAAGCGGACCGATGAATTGCAATCTTACTCGAAAACTAATAAACATAACATACTCAATGAAACGCTGATCATAATCAAAACATCATACCCACTCTGTGAGGTTTTTGCAGAATTTTGTCCTAACAATAAAAAAGTTGTTTTACAATCTATCATTAAAATATTGACACAGTTCACTATTTGTTACGAGGGAGGAGTGCAGAGAAAGGGACAGCCAGGTGTTCGAGAACGGAGGGAGATGGTACAGCACAGGTTAATGAATAAATAACTTTGTCTGTGAACGTGCTTCTCGAACACCTGGGTATGATGTTTTGATTATGATCAGCGTTTCATTGAGTATGTTATGTTTATTAGTTTTCGAGTAAGACTGCAATTCATCGGTCCGCTTTTGAGCCAAATGGACTGTACACAATTTGATTAATGTCCCAATAACGAACTGTACAAATGAAACCAACGGTGAGCACTCTGGGAGTAACGGAGATAATGCACTGTATGGCAATGCCAATAACAATGATAATCACTGAATGCTACAAACAGTTCTGGTAATCATGAATAATGGCCATTGTAATCCTGTTCACTATCATTTTTATGTTTTCTACTTAATACAAACACCTAATATCTAATGTTCTCAAATTACTTCATCTAAAACATTTTACAATAATGTGAAAACAAATCATGGAACCTTCCAAAATATCAATGGTTCGCTGTTAACATGTCATATCATTCATTGTGTCCATATGGCCTTGGGTACTCTTCGTGTCAACACATCTACACTGAACAAAACTATTTAAGGATGATGAATATTTTGGAGGTATTTTTATGAAACTGTGTCTTTGCCACTGTTCACTGCAGAAAATAATAATCATCCTTGACATCTTTGTTCAGCATAGCTCACTAATTGTCCACCTCTAAAACCCCAAAGGTAACAATAGGACATTCCTTATCTTCCACTCTGACCAGAAGAACCACCTCTGTATTGAGATCAATGGTCATGATTACTAGCAACAGTAACTGGCATTTTTCTTGTGGACAAACATTGTTGTCAAACACAAATAGCACTATTAGTCATGCAAGCACTTCAATGATTGTCAAACAAGTTACATCACAAAGAGCACTTTTCACACCTTCTTCAGTAAGTTCACTGTCAATATCTTGTCATGACATCTTGTAGGGCTGAACTCAAAGTTTGTATATTAGGTCACAACAGCAGAAATCCAACTCAAATTTACTGACATTATAAACAAGGACAGATGAAACAAGATACACCAGTTTAGAGTAGCAGTTGGTTTGATTTTCCCCACAATGACAATTCAAAGTGTAATTTTTCTGAATAAGTGTGGTCAAACACATCAAACACAAATATAAGTTCATGAACTACTTAACAGTTGCTTACACATATTCACCTTAATTATTGAACTCAGAAAATTGCAAAAACAATTTTAACTGAGGTGGAAGAGGTAGGAGTTCAATTTTTTTATCGATCATCGGATGCACATTTTGTCGAATGGTCACTCGACAACACTCCTTCAGGGATCTCACTGGGTAGAAGAAACAGTCATCGATCCATTCTGATATACTGTCATAGCTGCTCATGACACGCAAGTTGTGCCTCTTAACCTGCAGAGCATCAACCTGTGGTCGGAAACCAGCTGCAAACAGCAGACGCCAAGCTACCAGCTCTTTACTTTTAGGACCCACAATATCTGGATTTTCAAGGAAAGATTTTGACAAGGTCATTGAAACAAGTTCTGTCATTTCCTCATCTGTGACCTTTGCTCCATAAGAAAGCAGGAGCTGGATTTTCTCAACAGAATTGTGCACGTAAGCAAAAATTAAAGGCTTTTGCTTTTTCCATCCACCTCCTTTATTGACGTCTGCTCCCCGATCAAGCAGAAGTTTCACAACTTTGGGGTCCACATTGGAGGAAGAACAGGCACAACCAAGAGGGGATCTTTGATTGTCGTCCTGCATATTGACATTCATTCCCAAGTCAAGCAACTCAATCACTAAGTCAACGGCAGAGAACTGTACAGCTGTGGGCAAGAAGGTAGCTTCACAAGGATTGGCTCCAGCTTGTAAAAGCAGTTTGGTTATCTCAACTGGTGGGAAGGAGCTTGGTCGAAAGTCTTCTTTTCCTCCTAATTCACATCTGCCTTTCCAGAAGAAGCGGAACTCTGCGTTTCGGCAAGACACTTTCAGTGGTGTGTCTCCCTCCATTGTGGAAACGTTCACATCACATCCTTCGCCTATCAACCTTTGAACAATCTTCACATCATCCGACTGACATGCATAGAACAAGGGAGTACATTCCATGTTATCCTTCTTGTCAGTGTTGATGTTCTGTGCAGACTGTAACAGCATCTCCAGAATATCAAACAGTTCTGGCTTCCTCTCCTCCACACTGCAAGTGTGATGCAACGCTGTCTTGCCATCGGGGCCTGCCAGGTTCACGTCTGCTCCAGCACAGATCAGCAGTCGGACAAGTTCCATGTAGCCGAGAGAGCTTGCAAGGCTGAGTGGAGTTATCTGCTCCTTCTCCCACACCTTGTTGACATCGGGCTTGGTGTCCAGCAAGCCTCTGACAGTGTCAGTGTCACAGTTCTTGATTGACACGCACAACTTGTGTAGCCCATTATCACTGGTGCAGTCGGCCATTGCTGCAGTTTTAACACATCAATCACAAGTCATCGTAAGTCTGCATCTGAAAAAATAAAATTAGGATATTTTAGACATTGGAAGAAAAACCTTTTCCTGAAAAAAATAATAGAAACAATACTCTGTAGCTCACCTAAATTTAAAAGTGACAGATGCCATTTTTAAAAAAGCACCAGAGAACAGTAGCTAACCTGAATTATTCTTCTCTTTTTTTTTGCTGCTGTTGTTTAATGCTGCAATCAGTAATATTCCAGCTATATGGGGGCAGTCTGTAAATAATCGTATCAATCTATGCAATTGTGATATGATGACATACTGTCAACCAAGACAGTGTGTCAGACCATCCAATCCCTTTAGTCGCCTCTTACGACAAGCATGGGTTGCTGAAGACCATTTCTAACCCAGATCTTCACGGGTCTATCCTAAATTTGGCAGTGACAGAAGCCATAGCTCACATCCATGTGGTCAGACCCACTACTAACCATAAATACACCAAATTTCATTTCCTTAAGAATAACTAAGCAAGGGCCAGAATACAACATAATTTGTAGCACTGTGCCATGTTGTGTACGTACATAAACACAATGCAAGTCCACCTGTCGTAAGGGTAATTTTGTTTTTGTTGCACATCAACCCCACATTTGGAATACTATGCACAAGAAGTTAGATTGCAAAAGAGATATAATTAAGAGTTGAAAATGTCTTTGCTAAGCAGAAACTCAAAATGTTTTTGAATATTAGGTTGAGAATCACATTTAGCTGATGGTTAATGTGTAACTTGTTGCTTAGCAACACTCCAGCTACATGATGAGAGCCTGCAGATAATCGCATCACGACCAGATGATCCAGCACTTGTGTGTAATGACAATCCATGCCATTGATAAGCCAACGGGACATCAACCCAATTACTCAGGGTAACCTCTTTGACATGTGGATGTTCTATGCCCACAACAGAACATGGCTTTTTACGAGCTTTGGCAAAGTCTCTGAAGCACATGTAAAAGACTGTGAAGATCTTGTGATATTTTTGTGATTCATGTGATTCATTACTGCAGGGAGGCTCATTAAGGCAGTATGTTCATTTTGTTGATGTGGGCTGAAATGAGTATTAACCTTGTGTGCACTGAACTGTCGGTCATGTTCAACTCTGTTCCTGCACAAGCACTAGGCTGTCATACGGGCAAATAAAACAAATACTGTATGTCCAATGCTGACCAAGAAAGTCTATAATCTTTGTCCAGATTACTGCAGTGTCTTTAAAAAATTAAGAAAGTCCTTGGGCTACTTTTAATGATAATTTATTAAGATAAGTTATGAACTGCACTTTTCTGAAGAAGAAAAAAGTTTATTTCAGAGAATGTTTTTCCCACTATTTTTATTCACCTGAGTAGGTACCTTCATACTACACAAAGATCATACCGGATTGTACATATTGATAAGTCGTGGTACAACAGTCGATGCTGTAAATAATAGTAGCCATTTACTCATAGAATCATTTGGTTGGTTTTTCATTATGGCAAAAAATATTTCAAGGTAGCAATGAAGTAGGAACATTCATACATTACTACACAGAGATCATACATCATACAGGGTATGTCAGAGACTTGATGTTACATGGTCAGGGCAAGCACTTGCTACTTGGGGATCTGCTAAAGTCGATAATCCCCCAGGAAGTATTAACATACATGAAGACACCACAAAGAGTGCCACTGCAACTCCACAGTGTAATTCTGAACCCCACTCTGAACCTACACATGCTATGCTAACATGATACAAATAAAAAGAGGAAGCCACTAGCTACAAGAAAGGTTTGACTGGGGAGACATGTCTCAACTGAGGGAACAGGTCAGTGTTTCACAGCCAGCAGTCCCTCCTCTGAATAGTGCAAAACTTGACGTGTTGGCAAACATAACCATTTCTCTCAAGCTCATACATAAATTATACAACCCGAGCCAGGAGTCTTTGTTAGCCAGTCCCACATTTGTACCTTAAAACCCAACCAGTGTTAAGATGAAAGCCCTCCCTGGAGAGAAAAGGCCCCTGTATCCCATTTTGCCATAAGCATAATACTGTATAACTGCACCTAAAAATGCAGAGACAACTGAATATTGGAATTCATTAATGGTTCATACCTTGTGCACCAATTCTGCAATTACAGGATCACAGGAAGATTTACGAAACATGAATCTGTCACAACACAGCAGAATAAATTCTGTTCCCATTCATAGGTTCAGTAACATTTTTTCTGTTTAAAACTGGCAACTGAATGATACCCAAACATTAACATGTGATTCAAACACATGAATTCTACACACAAAAAAACAACTATAAGGAATTCTCACTTTTATTCGTTTTTGTGATATTTTGATTATATAAACATATACACCTATCCATAAATCTAAATGATTAAATTTTGAAATGTCCATTTTTTTATGAGAGGTAAATGTTTACATGGCTGAATTTTGTACTTTTACTGCAGAATTTCTTTTGACAGCCAATGCATAACATGTACAATAACACTTTTCACAAACACCCATGTACAATTCAAGCTTCAATTCACAAGTAAAGGTAGAGAAGCTCACCTTTGGTGATACGGTTATATTCACACTGCACATGCCTACTCTCATGACAATATGTATATGGAAGTCCTCATAAAGATGGACAGTAACATATCATGGACGTACATTTGAAATGTAATGGACAGCACTGTAAATAGTGAACAATAAAAGAAATCTTTTTATGACTACCGATTTCTGAGCAACTAGACAATCCTACTGGATCATGTGGAGACCATGGGCATGTTTTACCTGCACGAGTAGTGAAGGATGCCACACAGGATGACAACGAGCATCTCACATGGGCGTCATTTGACAGCAATGTATCAACATGAGCCTTGGTGCTACTACTATCATAAATCATGACAAGGCAACAAACTTGTCACATTCCTGTAAAAATGTTCATTTGGTTTTGCAAAACAACATTTGTAACTGACTGACTGACTGACTGACTGACTGACTGAGTTTGGTTTTACGCCGCTTTTAGCAATATTCCAGCAACATCACGGCAGGGGGACACCAGAAATGGGCTTCACACATTGTGCCCATGTGGGGACATTTGTAACTGATACATGAGGTGGACAATGAGTTTGGAAAAAGAAGGTACAAATGTTTCACCAATATTCTGCAATTTCACACTCTGAGAAATCTGGAACGGACTTTAAAGGAATGTAATGAAGGCATGAAGATGATAACTCACAACTTCAGAGCTGTCAACCCCTAAAGTTGGTTTTGAGTGAGACTGAAAAAAATAAGTCGGGGTCCAGGGCGACGCCCTGGTGGTGGGTCTCATGGGGGCAAACCCCCCCAGCCGAAAATGAAGTTTAGTGATTTTCAGGAGCATTTGGAGCCTTCTGGTGGCATTATTTTGACACTAAAAGATGCATGCTAAAACATGAAAAAAACATCACATACCTTCATTCTTTGTATTTCTTAGAAGAGAAGCTTTGCTATAATCCATTCAGGTGTTCTTTCAATGTTCAACTTTACGCAAAAACGAACGAAATGCGTATTAATTTTTAAAAAAAAATTTGCTACCAGATATGCGTGAGATTATTATTTGGAGGCGTGAGAGCGTGACATTTGCCAGTAAAGCGTGAGACTCACACCAAATGCGTGAGAGTTACTGACAACTTTGGGTTACTGACAGTGGACGTCCAATAGTAAAAGCGTAGAGGAAGCCAAGTGGTTGGCTATCTACCCGGGGAGTTACACTGATACCCCATCACATTCAGCAAACTATGTATTGTTGATACAGCAATACCTAACCTAGGATATATATTTTCATAACAGTTAAGCAAAAGAAACCACCACAATGTGGTCTAATTTACTGCTTCAGCTGTGTCACAATCCAGCTGTGACATCTGTGGGATACTGAAATAATATCAAACACTTTCCTAAGGAATCATCCAAGTTACCATATAATTAGTGCATCTGAGAGTGATTACTTGTGAAACTGTGTTGGAAATTGAGTATCAATTCTACCACAGTTATGTAACGTTTTACAATGATAATCCTCAGCATTATGACATCAAATACCATGTACAACATGTACATACACATGACGATACTGAACAAATAATTCAATTCAATTCCTTATTAACCTCAACTTTTACAACTTATCAGCAGTTATATAAAGCATAAATTGATACAGGTGGATGGGCTTGACAAGTTTGGTAAATATGCATATACATATGGAGAATGCGCATAATTATTTTAGATACAAATTTCTTATATTACATGCAGTAAAGAAATATTTACCAAGATTACACAACTGTTAACATTATTTAAACCAAATAATTAATTTAAAGACAGATGGATTTTTCCAGTAATATTCAGGGGTGGATCCAGAGGAATATTTTTCCCATGAGGAGCATCCCCCCATCCCCCCATCTTTGGAATTCATGATATATGTGCACCCCCACCCCCTTCTCAAAAACCCTGGATCCGCCCCTGATGATATGGCTTTATAATTCAAATCACAGTTGAGCATCAACATTTCCAACTCTGTTTCCCTTTCACAACGGTTCAGACTTTTTATGTGTGTACAGCATAAGTAATGGAACATCATTGATGGGAAGAATTATTCATGATTATCAATATGAAAACTGTGTCATGGACAATATCCACCATAAGCTACTGTGTTGAAATATAGTTTTCCCTCACACACACCCAGTAAACAAAGTTACTTCATAATTCATGGGCTGCCTCATTCTCTTCCCACAGAGGTTACTCCTGTCATATCTTCCTACGTAGGAAGATATGACAGGAGTCACCTCTGTGGGAAGAGAATGGGGCTGCCTATAGTTTAACATAATTTGGTGAATCATCAATGCATTAAAGGCACTATATCACACCACACTTCCCTAAAAATAGATAATGCATTTCTCTCAATAATACTAACTATCAGTCCTTATCATTTATTCAAGAAAAATACAATCATTTAGATTACAATATTAAATAAAAAAATTTGAATGGATTAATGCAGCGTTGCAGTAAATCGACTCTCGCACCATCTACCCGCCGAACAGTATTTCAAGTGAACCCCATAGAGTTATGTCTCTTAGTTGCAGCGCTCTTTACGAATATCCTATTTGAATGTTTATCATCAATATATGAGCGGCAAATCGTGAATCAAGCTGTCAAAATCATATCTGACCGTACTCACTACTTAAATTCGGAATACAACCTCCTCCCTTCAGGCCACCGCTACAAAGTTCCAATTGTGAAAACTAAGAGAGCCCGTACATCCTTTATTCCAAGTACCATATCTCTCTTAAACGAATGTGAAGATACCTAAATCAAAGAATTTATGTAAATAATTTTGGTATCTCTCTAATGTTATAGCTCTGCTGATGTAACACAAATTCCTGAAAAGGCATTAAAGTATTATTCTATTCAATATAAAATAGGCCAAAATATTGTGGAAAATGTGTGACATTGTGCCTTTAATGTATCACCACTCAACAATGACCAGAAATATGTTGATGTTCACATGATGTTTTTCTGAGTTTTTATGCATATTTACTCAAAGCTACTTCTCTGAAATATTTGTAAACAATTCACTGATAAATTAAAACTTATTCTTGATCTATATGTCATCTATATTGATGGCAAGCCCTATCTCCTTAGCCTCAGGACCATCTCCTACAGTGAGGTAGAGCAGGCCTTGTCACATGGTAATTAGAATCACTATTTTCTTTCAAATTTTAAATCCTCCTAGCTAAGATACATAACGCTCATATCTTTGCTAAAATCCTCCGTCGTACGTTTCCAGTTTTGAAAAAATGTAGTATTAAGACACCAAAATAGATCTGTATCTCTGTTACTGTTGGCCTCATTTCCAAATGTGGCTAAAACCACAGAGAAAAAATGGGTTGTCACGTACATGGCAGGACCTCTTGACTGACACCTCGGCTTCTGTCTCCAAGGCCATGCAGCGCGGAGAATGGTGCTTGAGCTGGGAAAGTTTCATTTGAGGAAGGCTAAACCGGAACTTGGCCAGTTCCATTAAAACAAAACACGTTAAATAACAAAACCTGTCACACCGACAGTTAAATGGGTCATAGTCTGTTTGACAACCTCCCCTCCATCGCCTGTGACCTTCTATGCAAACCCGGCTTGATCGAATCTGACATAGAGAAAAATCCCCGATCAGCTGACGACTTTCCTTGGTAAAAAAAATCAATGTCCTACCGGCACCCGAGTCACTGTCAGGTTAAAACCCCACTGCCCCGCTGATAATGCATGGTGCAAGGTATATACAACGAGCTTCTCTTGATATCTGCTGCAAATACTTACAGAATCCGTGCGCAGGTTGAACACGATGCATAACTATCATAGAAGTGTCACACTCAACGAGATAGCATAATTCGGTCAGCGTTTGCAGCTCGAGCGAGGTCATTTAGAGTTATCGCACTCACGGTCAGAACACGTGCGCAACCACTTCAGCCAATCAAAACGTTCATACTTACCAACAGCCGGTTCCTCGTTGTTTACGTCCGTAATAGCGACATAGGTAAAACCTCATATTAGAAGCCGAAGTAGTTTTATTCTGCACGTGGGTATTTTGTCTAATAATTCAGAAGGAATCCACCTCACACTATTATTCCCATGATTGAAACATATGTAGCAGATGTCGCAATTGTAGAAAGCCGAAGCTCTTCACGTGCTGCACCACAACGGTACAGCACCTGACCACGTAGAGCACGGATGATTGTTGCATGTATTTGCTCATAAAGGCAAATGTAGAGACGGTGTCTGGCAAATGCAATATGACACTGAAAGCACACTAATTGTGCCGAATTTATGTAATATGTGGGGGATTCTGAATTTTGTTATAACTGAAATGGCAAACGTTATTTTCGCGTTTCCTTCCGTAGTGCATGAATACCAATGGGTGTGATGTTTCGGGTTAGGGCACATGCACTCCGGCATGGATGGCCTGTCCGTGACCAGTAACTTATTTATAGGTAGTATTTTTTTATTGTGTGAATCATGTAATGTGTTACACGCAAGTGTTGGTGGTAGCTACCAGGTCGGGTTACACTCGGAGTTATATATATAGGACTGCTGGGGTACCGTTGCACTGACTGTTACGTATAAGACACACCGTGCGTCTACAGGGGCGGTGGGGTAGCCTAGTGGTTAAAGCGTTCGCTCTTCACGACAAAGACCCGGGTTCGATTCCCATGCACATGGGTACAATGTGTGATGTCCATTTCTGGTGTCCCCCGCCGCGATATTGCTGGAATATATTGCTAAAAGGGGCGTAAACCCATACTCACTCACTCACTCTCACATGCACCTACATGTACCCACATACTTAGTAAACAATTAAGTGTCGGGTTTGAAAAACCGACATTTTTTACGTCTGATTCTGGATAGTAAAAACGAAAACCAAATTAGCCTAATTTTAGGAGAAAGAGAATAAGAGCAACTTAGATTGTCACAAATATTTCAAAGTCTGTCTCACAGTCCTATTTGAAAGGAATTATTTGTTTGTATTAACATAATATATTCAGAGACTAAGCGTTAGTGTATTTGTTTAGTTTAGAAACGTCTACAAGTTTTGAGAAAATATCCTGTAATCCGATTCGAGTACTATATATGCAAAGAAATGCAATATAACATTGAATAGATTTGATAGAACATGTTTAATAATCCCATGAACGTGACTGGGTGAGTTGGGTTCATCGCCGGTTTGTGACAGCTTAGTGTGGGAGGAACTCCTGTATTGCTCAGAGGTCTCACATGTTTACGTATTCCCGTAATGTTCAGAGGGCTCAGAGGTCTCACATGTTTACCAATTCCCGTATTGCTCAGAGGTCTCATATGTTTACCAATTCCCGTATTGCTCAGAGGTCTCACATTAGTACTGTCGGAAATAGAAAAAACTGTATTTTTCTCATTTATCTCTACAATTTATGTAGTTGATATGTGAAAGTGTGAAATATCTGTTAAACTAAGTTCGGCCTAACTACAGTCTCAGTGGTAGAGAGATAGGAAACGGAGAAAAAGGACTTTACTGAGGGGAAATTAGTGCAGAAATGAGCAATGCGGTTTTTTCTAAGTCCAAAAAGACTTATTTGGAACAGACCATGGCTTTATGCAAATTAGTGTGCGACGATATTGTATTACAAAGGACACTTTTTAAATGCCCAATTTGAAATTAGACGTAGATTCATTATAAACGATAGCTGACGTAAAAAATAATAACTTTTATGCCGAAACTATTAAGGATGTAGCTACCATGCAGTCTCACTGTCACTATAAAAAGAAACAGATAGGAGGGGTCGCCTCAAAAGCAAAACCTGGGGTCGGGCTTGGGGATAGAGATATCAGCTAAGATAAGATAATCCTTTAGGGCAATTATACTGGGGAGGTACACGGCACGTCATAACAATTTACAAATAATATCCAGTCCTGTCGATCTTCGGGTGGTCATGCCACCTATATACTACGATGCGTTTCTATGGTTTTCGGGTATCATACTCTCTTACATATCTCAACATAAACTTTATGAAAGAAAGACACGTAAGATGTTAATCAGTAGATGAGACATAGTCAACACACATGAAAAAGCACAAAATATCTTTGAGATGACCCCTTGTGCCTGTAGGCAGCACGTGCATTTCATGCCAGGTGAGTCGACGGTCCGTCGTCATACCTGGCTGAGCGACCTAATTGCCATCTATAGTCTGATCTATTGTTTTCAGCAGCTATTCGTATTTTTTCTAAGTTTTGCCCGATTTTACGAGTAAACATGCTTTTCTGGATATCGTATTACGCATCCCACTGAACGCCCAGTTAGGCCGAAGTGGGTTATTTCGACATATGCTATTTGCAATTGTGTCAATTTTAGGGATACAGAGTAACAGCCTAAAAACAGTTTTTTTCTATTTCCGACAGTACTAAAATAATTACATTAGACAGAGACCATATGCCGATTAGAATTGTTATATAGTTAGGCTACTTATAGTGTACTTAGAGCAGAGACCATATAATAGAGGATGTACTAAGGTATATGTGACAGTGTTATTTCACATGATCTGCTTACCAGAGGGGCGTTAGCCGGAGCAGGATGTCGCTGATGCAGGCCTCATGTCCACGAAGTTTGCATCAGAATGAAAGTAAACTCATATGGAGACAAACCCACATAAAATGAGAATGTCATCCAACCCGCGTCGCTTCGTAGTTAGCGCTCGAAGTCGGCCAGATCGATGGCACCCTTACGTGATTCGTTCTCCCGTGGATAATTTCGGCCAGTAAGTCAAGGTCCTACAAGTGTTGTACTTGTTTTATAAGCGACTCTGGTCACGTAGGTCGACCAGGAGGAACAATATTGTTGAAGTGACGTCGGGACCACATGGCTCCCACGAAAATAGGCTCGTGTGTGTCCCAGACTCTCCAGACGTCGGTACAATATACAGACAACACTCACGAAAGCAGAGTTCCCGAAATACATGTGTGTTGATGTATTACAGCGGTGCACTTTTGGAGTCTGTGACATACAGGGTTTGTGTGTAAACAGATCTGCAGAGAAGCTATTTGTTTATAAAGTATGTATACCGTTTGGGAAACGTGAAGCAGGAAGGATACATGGAAAGATAACGAGGTTGTTACAGGCTTTGCTAAATGTTTATTCGCATTCACGTGGGTGGTTTTATGCAGGAAATACTGCTTCCCTGAAAACCTACGGCTTGTTCTTCAGTTTGAAAAATAGAAGTGAAAAGATTTGTGTTAATCTGATGGACTGACTGACTGACAGAGTTTGGTTTTACGCCGCTTTTAGCAATTTTCCAGCAACATCACGGCGGGGGACACCAGAAATGGGCTTCACAAATTGTACCCATGTGGGGATTCGAACCCGGGTCTTCGGCGTGACGAGCCAACGTTAATCTGGTGGAACAAAGCGAACCTTATGAAAGCTACGGAATCCCATACAAGCAATACCGTTTATCATGGACAGTGTATGTCTCGAACTGCTAGTAACTCGATCAGCACTTATTCGATCAATGAAGTCCGCTTCTTGTGACAGCCATCATGGACTAAAGTCTTGTTTATGTCCAAGTGCTACATAAACAAGCACACCCTCTAAACATGCCGACCCATTCCACTGCATTCCTTGGTGAAACATTCGTCTAATTCTTATCGAACACATCATGTTTTCACGTTTGTTAAATAATACAAGTCCCCGGAGCAAAAAGTTGAATTTATCACATGCCTTCATCTTATACTGAAACAGGTGGTACAGAATACAGCTTCAGTCTTTTATGCATGCAGGAGATGGTCAAATACCCATATAAGGTCATGGTACTTGGTATTCAAATAATGCGTGCACGCTACCTTCAAACCATGTCAGGGACTTCATATGGAATCTGTCAACAAACGGGAGTTACGATTTGAGATCGCTTTGTGGTATAGTTCCCTGGATCTATTCGCTGTCATTGCATCGTCCGCTTGGAATGACACGATACGAATAATATCCATGCAATGAGATTTTATTATGAAACAAACAGCGGCGTCATCAGCAATCCTACCCTTGAAGGTCCGGGCTCAGATGGTCTTTAGCCACCCATGCTGCTTATCGTATTATAAGAGGCGACCGATGGGATCGGACTGTCAGACTTGGTTGATGCATGTCATCGTATTTATTGATCACCGCATTGTCTGGTCCAGATTCGATCATTTACAGACCGCCGCCATATAGCTGGAATATTGCTGCGTGCGGCGTCAAACAACCAACGATCAAACATCCAAAGATGTCCCCGATTCAACTACTGTGTTGAGTCATGGCTATTCTTCTTTGGAACCTGGGTGTCAAAAATGTTTGGTGTAGGTTAGGAAAGCGAGCATGTCGTTGTTCACCTTTTTTGCGAGCAGACCATGGGACCATGTTTGTGCACATGTCATTTACCTGTGTGATATGGCTTTGTTAACAACCCTGTTGTACAGGGTCTCTCAGGTTGGGTTGTGCAGAGCACGTGTTGCAGAGAGCGGAGTTGGTAGCTCATGACATTAATTAACGGTTTGTCACTGCCAAGGCTGATCATAAATATAACAAGCAGTTGTCACTAAGGTGACATAATCCCCCGCCGCAAATTATCAAATCAAACTGAAAAAAAAAAAGAATGAAAGTGAAGGTCGTAGTTTAAGATGAAGTTAAATGTCAACAAAAACATGACCAGTCAACCTCTCTTGATATCTTGCTCTGTAGCTTTTCAAACACACAAATATTTTCAAGACTCACTTTGACCCTGACATGAATGTCATGGTGTATAAAATATGCGAAAAATAGTAATAAAGAAATTGCTTATCAGAAAAACATTCAAGAGAAGTCTTGAAAGTCTATGAAGAAAATCAAGTGAACCGTTCTTGAGATATCTTGCTGACAATCTTAACATACTGAAATCTTAAAAGTGTCGGAGTGATTATATGATTAAAATCCAGTGAATGGTTCTTGAGATATCTAGCTGACAAGCTTACCATGCAGGTTAATATGCTGAAATCTTCAAAGTGTCGCTGTGACCTTGAAAGTTACGTTAAGGTCACCAAAATCGACTGGGCCCCTGCACAGTCCTTAGATGAAGCCTAGTGTCAAATATGAAGAAAATCCAGTGAACGGTTCATGAGATATCTCACTGACAAGGGTAAAACGTTAAAGTCCCTTTGTGACCTTGAAATGAAGGTCAGAGTCACCAAACCTGACTGGGACCTTTCGCATACTGTGATGAACCTAGGTACAAAGTATGAAATAATCTAGTCAACGGTTCTTAAGATATTCCAATTCGTACGGACGGACGGAGCCTAATACTATATCCCCCGCTTCGGGGATAATATACAACTTAATTTACAAAGCACCTGATACCAAGCTCAAAAGGTTTGCTCAAGGTGTTACAAATCGACATAACAGTGATGGAGAAGCAGAACTATGAAAACAGCATGCTTAAGTACATTACATAATGTACAATAAACTAGGGGATACTGTAATATAATATAACAATTGTAGAGATATTACGCGTAATATATAATAAACACCTAATGGGAGCTCATTTGTAGTTGACGTTGAGATAAATATTAGGTTTTCACAGGGAAGACTGGTATTTTCTCTTTGATAGCTATTTGCGCATAATTTGCCTGTGGTCAGACATTCACACTAGATAGTGCGCATGCGTACTCTTCGTGCAGCGCCTGGTCATTTCGTTACAGCGGCCTCTGACGTTAACGCACAAGTTCCTTTTAGGTGCCAGACGTGATACGTTAGGATTGGTCAGGGATTATTAATGGTAAGAGCATTATATGGATGCTGTGCCGCTGGGACGAGCATTGATGAGAACGGTGAGCACAGATGACTTCCAACAGTCTGAACCGTAACTTCGAGTCTGCATGTTGAAAGTTTGCAGCAATTTGATTCCCCGTTTGAACGGTTTCGAGTCCTTTACACATATCCTCTTGTAGCTGACTTGAGATGTCCCGAATAGGGTCCATCATCAACATTTCGGATTTGATGATACCTTTCCCTCTGTCTGCTGATCACCGACTGTGAAACACTGGACGTATATGCTGCTGCACGTCTGCCAGTTACCCCAAATCCGCTGACGCTGCGCGGGTTGCATACACCACATCGCTAGCTTTCACACAATGGAAAAATAGAATTAAGCACGTCTCAATTGCATGACAAGAATCAATACAAGTAACGGAAATAATGGTCCAACCAACCTTCCTTGAAAGTGCCCAAATCAGGAAGGACACCGATGTTTTGTTTCCTTTGAATGCGATATAAGACAGAGAGTGTAGTCGTGTTCAATGGCACTTCCATTACTTTTGTTTACTTATTATAAAGACTATAGACATTTCTCGCAAGACATTTTCCAGGTCTACACTTATGGCATAAGTGATTCAGATCACGTGACGGCAACCAATCGGTGACTGAACTGTATAAGTGCGCTGTTAAAGTTTTTCATTGAGAATTTGTAGAAAATGATTTCTTCAGTGCACTATTTCACAAACGCGAGTTCGAAATATTCGCTTCATCGGTTTATGCTTATTGTGTCTGTTCAGTGTGGTTTACAACAGATTTGTTTTGGAATTTAACACTTACATCTTTCAATTTATAGTATACATTCTATAAAAGCAAATTGGATGTTTGTTTAATAATAATATTTCAAGACAAAACAACATGTAATCAGATCGATATATACAGATATATTGATGTTAGGTTTCATCCTAATACACAGACAGGATGTCCTCTGAATCTACCCAAGTTCAATTTGTCAACACAATGATAATCTTAGAAACACCATGACCGTGTTATAAAGTTTGGAATGGGAAATATTTAAACATGTTCACACCCAAGTGGATCTATATTCTATACATGTACGTAAATGGACATTTTGTTTTGAAGCAACAACAATAGTGTTGGTGTTTGGATATACCTCATCAATTGAAGAGTTCCTCTGGTTAGCAAAACTTCAGGTTGTGTAGATTTGTACTAACTGCAGGTAGATCATTTCACCTCATTTGGAAACACTGAGAGAGAAATCAGAAATCACTAAATAACCAGTATGAATAAAAACAGGAAGAATCTGAAAATTGTATGAAAAAAGAGTAAATTTACTTCACATAGATCCGTTGAGGCTTCATATCTAATCATATAACCTTGACAAATCTTTAAGTGTCATTTGACACTTGTCTTCCGGTTCTTACAGTTTGTCATAGAGACCCTGAAAAAGAATATACAATACAGATCATGCAAATTAATATGTGGTAAGTCTTGATTTCTGCAAATGTACTCTGAAAATGAGGAAAGTCTCTTGGGTTCTCTTTATTACATTTTATTAATGAAAAAATAACAATGTGTTTTCCTGTAAAGGATGTTCTTTTCAGAGACTTAAAGATGTCTATGGTTCTTCCAAAACAGAATCTGGTAAAACTATCCTGTAATATCCCTTCCTTTTTGACATGTGCACTGGCTCGATCAGTTTCCAATGTTGACAGACCTAACACGTCCAGTCGATGGTGCGTTCGTATACATTTTCAGAACAAAAGCTGAGTTGAGTCTTTGAACGGCATTTAGAAGTGATACACATAAAAGTTGTCAAGTTTCTTATTTGAGGAACACGACGTTTTGGAGTATAATCTCACTCCTTCATGAAATGAATGAAAGGCGAGAAAACAGATAACTCTGTATGTACATGTGAAATAACAACAGTGATAAGATTACGTGGTAAGCCAGTAGTTAATTATCTAGAGCTAAATTGGTAAAGCGGATGGCTGGATGGACAAGTAGAAGCCAGGGATCATTAATCCAGGCATGAATGATGAGATAACTCCGAAACGCCGTGTGCCTCAAATAAAAAGTTGATATCTATAAATTCTCGCCTTTATACGCTAAGTAGATAATATTGTTTCTGTTTGACACGATTTCATTTACAATTACAACTTAGAAAAACACCATCTCTGACGTTCTTGCGACAAGTGACTGCCGCGCTTATCAATGATGAAGCATCAACATATATGATAAGATATGTTCACGTGCTTCATCCAGATAGTCTGCTAGAGCTGGGCCGGAAGTTTAAGACGCTCATGCGCAACAGGGTGTAAAACGGTGTACAATAACCAATGAAAAGGCTCGTTACAAAGGTAACCGAGGAGGTGCTTGTCGCCATATTTGTTTGTACTTGGCAGTCAGACGAAAGTCGTCGATCTTGAAGAAATATTTAGGGATTAAGGAAATCGAGATCCATTTTTAAAATGGAACGAAATGTTAGATATGAAGTGGTGAGTAATATTTGAAGATATCATGGTAACATAGAAAAGATTTATGAGATCTACCTTTGAATGTCTCTAGTCTATATATGCTCGGGCATTTGTGTCAAGTCAGAAATCCTGTGTGACAGACTGTTTATCTCAGACAGGTTTATCTTTTACCAGGCATCACTTTCCTCGCGAGTTGCGTTACTGTTTTTGACCTTTACTTGGTGACGATGCAGTAATTATTCGCCAACACAATTCGATCGTGCAGATCGGGAATAAATGCATATGCCGATCGAAGTTAAATATGTCAGTCGAACGATAATCAGAGTATAGGCTATAGCAATAAGTAACAGACATCAATTCAATTGAGAGACGTGGACGAATTTTGCGATTAATGCAGCTGTTTGATTATCTATTTACCATGTTTGTTGTGCTTTCACAGACTGCCAAAATCCAGTAATACTACTTCCCTAATTTGTCTCTAAGCATCATTGTACCCAAAAAGTTTAACTTTATGGTTACACAAAACCAAATGTTTTCCCATAGACTTCTATTAGCAACGTTATGTATTTTTAGAAAATCATCCGGGCTGTCAACAGCCATTCCAAGAATTTCCATGTACACATGGGTACAGTCTGGCCTTAATTAAACTACAATAAAATCACACATTTTCGAGCTCAGGAAGCTGAACACATCAACCCAGTTCCGCACCAAATGTCACCTACTTGACAATATCTGTGCACACATTCAGCATAAGTCATCATGTTAAAAAAGGCAGCACTAGATATTAAAAAAATGTGGTCAGTTTTAATTACTGGATGGATGTACATTTAAAAAACCCAAATATCTTATACAATATCATCCAATCTCAATATCCTCCTTCACGATACTCGCTCAGGGAGCAACTGATTTTTATTTAGTGTAGTAGAACCTTATTGGACATTGGTATTAGACATTGTACATTACAGTGTAACATTAGCTCTTTAGGGCAATTGTTCAGGCTAAATAGAAATACTGCACTTTACTGGGCACAGGTTTTTGGATTTCGATTACTACTTCAAGGTACTTTGCCAGTTTGGAGCCACGCTTAGCTAATGAGTTAATCTAATATGCCAACACCCTACAATAGGACCACAGGTGCTATCACAAAATTATTTCTCATTTACCATGTCATTAGCACCTGATTGTGTACCTTTCTGAGGATGTGCAACAACCATAATCTCTGCAAATCTCGAAACTTAATAAAAATGTACAGTTTTTTGCAATTTCAGTGAATACACTTGTTGAAACATCACAAGTAAACCTAACATTTATCACATTAAATGCTTTTAGGGCTAGTTCACAGTGTTGACATTGTATGCCATTCTGTTGTAATGTCTTCGTCTGTGAAGGCTGAATCCAGAAGTGGTGAAGTATGGGATAATCACGGATTGTGAAGAATACAAGAATCTAAGTATTACCAATACACCACACCATCAGAAACTATTCCATGATACAGAAATTGTCTGTGGTGTGACAGTATTTGGTGGTAGTTAGTATCTATGATTCTGAGGTGGTTTCTTTGGCCCATTTTGAGATTGACAAAAGCTGGTAAATATGTATGGTTCAAAGTTAAAATTTGTCTCAGAATAAGCAGATTATGAACAGCTGATACAGAACTGATCACTTTAACCCCTGTGTGTTTCCTAAATGAAATACATTGTATCATAAATTTGTTAGTAACTCACCCACCAAGATATCCCAGTTGTCATCATTGCATGAAAGGGTCTTGCATAATTTCAGTGCTTTTGTTTTGAGAATGCAATTTTTAAACATACTTGTTTACTTCCATTATCTTTCATTTTGCTACCAAGTGGTAAGTAATCAATAGTCGACAACAGTGAGACATTGTACCTAGTGATTATCAACGCCCTTTCTTACTGCAGTTGGTTGGTGAAGAGGAGCAGCTTCCAGCTCAGCCAGTTGCCATGGCAATGGTAATTCCTCCTCCTCCGTATCAGGAAAATAATGTTTCTCAGTCAGGTGAGTATTTAATGATAATCGCCTTATGTCAGGTGGTGAGTTTGTTCAGCTGATTTTCCTTTCTTTCTTAACTTTATTTGATCATGTTATGCTCAGTGCTTGTGATCAGATGATAGAGTTTTTTTTATGTATTTCTGGTGTAAAACAAGTTTCAGAATTAGTTTTTCAATGTTAGGCGGAAGTAGAAGAGTAGTTATGGGATGATTACATGGAGGTTATTTGATTAGTTGCAGTGGTGACATGACACAGACCAGTTTGACCAGTTCATTACATGCAAAACGAAATAGTGATTTTTTTATCTATATGTGGTGAAACATTGTTTGCAAATCTTGTTACACACAATTTGTCAGCCTGGTTACTCATTGGAATTGTATATAAATAATTTATAGAAAACATGGTAAAGCAGTTGGGATTCAGAAATGCAAACATTAATAACCATCGGTGGACTTCATTGTTTGAATCCAGCCTATTCATAGTTAATGTGAAGTTATAATTAATATAACAATTATAACTGTGTTGGAATTGAAAGGACTTGAGACTTGCCCCCGGAATGTGCATCAGACAAGAATAATTCATATTCAAATTCTGGATCAAAAGTTACTAGGAAACGAGGTAAGCGGGGAGGAGTCCGCCGACAGGTCCGGGCGCGCAAATCAAGACCACCTCTTCCAACTTTTCCCATATCAAACGTGAGGTCTCTTAAGAATAAACTGGACGAACTTTCGGCAAGCACTAAATATTTGTACGAATTCAGAGACAGTTGCATTCTATGTTTCATGGACACATGGCTATCACCCTCCGTGGACAGTAACACCCTTTATTTGGAAGGATTTGGTACTCCAGTTCGATTAGACAGAGATTCAGATGCTACAGGGAAATCTATTGGAGGAGGTGTATGTATGTATATAAATAAAAAGTGGTGTCGTAACTATCTTGTGAGAGAAAGGATATGTTCACCAAACATATCTACCACGTGAATTCGGTCAGATCTTTGCTGTGAGTGTCTATATACCGACCAGTGCCGATAACAAACAAGCAGCTGATGTAGTTCTTAATCATGTTCAATCCCTAGAGCTGATTTGTCCTGATGCGTCGAAATTCATACTTGGAGATTTTAATGGATGTACCCTGAAGTCTGTGCTCCCCACCTACAATCTGAGGGACCTCAACACTTTCTACAGCGACTTTGAATGTCACGATTTTACCAATGAGAGAGCTCAAGTTAGTGAAGCCGTACAGTATAGTGAAAGTCGTATCCGTATATCAGAAGCTGACCTCATTCAAAGCTGCTTCAGAATTAACCTCAGAAAAGCAAAAAGGACCTGACAACCTTGACGGCATTGTGTTGAAGGAGTGCAGACTTCAACTGTGTACAGTTTTCACTAGATTGTTTCAATTCTCAGTGAATACACACCCGTTGTACCCGTTCCTAAAAAGACACAACCTAATGAACTCAACGACTACAGGCCAGTTGCTCGCACATCTATAGCAATGAAGTCGCTGGAACGCATATTGTTGAAACATCTCCAACAGGAAGTTGCCGACATACTGGACCCGCTTCAGTTCGCCTACAGGTCAAGGAGAGGAGTTGTTGATGCCACACTGTCACTCCTTAATATTAATAATGTCTACAAACATCTAGAGATACCTAAGCAGAGGTACAGATAAGCTGTGTACCTGCGTAAATTACGCAAATATTTATGTGAAAACTCCTCGTGTTGCGTTAACCTAACGCTTCAATTTTTGTAAATACTCAATAAATCTGATCTTACATGCGTACAAACTAAAATAGATAAAATAACTTAGGTATATTGAGAGGGTCTATATCAGCACCTGAACTTGGCAACTTGCAATCTTTCTTATCGTTTCTCAGTTTACAGATCCAACACACATAACAAACACGTAAACCAGAATATAAATTTTATTATAATTTTACAATTAATGGAAAATGGCAATATACCCAATTGAGTTGGAGTGAGGTAGGTACAATTTATTTGGTTACTCAAAGGAAAATTAGGATACCCAATTGAGATTGACACAAGCGAGTACATAACTCAATGACCCAAGAAGTTATCTGTAGCTCTGACCTAAGTCATACATCAGGATCCTCTTCGTTGACTTTTCATCTGCGTTCAACACCATCCAGCCACATATCGTGATACAGAAACTGTTAGACATTGGCGATAACTCATACCTAATCAAGTGGATCGAAAACTTTCTTGTGGACAGACAGCAGTACGTGAAAGTTAACGGGGCTGTATCGAGTAAACGGACCACCAACACTGGTGCACCACAAGGCTGTGTAATATCTCCTGTTCTTTTCACCCTCTACACTAATAATTGTGCAAGCTCAAATTCAACATGTTCAACTGTAAAGTTCGCAGATGATGCAGCAATTTGTCGGCAAACTGTACGACACTGATTCTGAAGAACTGTATAAAGAGAACATTAATCATTTCACGACTTGGTGTGCAGAAAACCACTTACTCTTAAATGTCACAAAAGCAAAGGAACTGATAATTGACTTTCGGAGTAAGCCCACAGTCATGCGTAAACTGAGATCTTTTAATGTTTACCCATCTACGATGTCATCTTTTTATGCAGCATTTATTCAGAGTATTTTAACATTTTCCTTCCATTGTTGGTACGGGTCTCTCTCAGTTCATCTCAAATCTAAAATAGACAAAATTGTTAACACTGCAAGTAAAATCGCTGGAGTCAGATTTGAATGTTTATCATCAATATATGAGCGGCAAATTGTGAACCAAGCTGTCAAAATCATATCTGACCATACTCACTACTTAAATTCAGAATACAACCTCCTCCCTTCAGAGGGGCGGTTGGGTAGCCTAGTGGTTAAAGCGTTGGCTCGTCACGCCGAAGACCTGGGTTCGATTCCCCACATGGGCACAATGTGTTAAGCCCATTTCTGGTGTCCCCCGCCGTGATATTGCTGGAATATTGCTAAAAGCGGCGTAAAACTAAACTCAGTCAGTCAGTCAGTCAGTCCTCCCTTCAGGCCGGCGCTACAAAGTTCCAATTGTGAAAACTAAGAGAGCCTGTACCATATCTCTCTTAAACAAATGTGAAGATACCTAAATCAATGAATTTATGTAAATATGTTTTGTATCTCTCTGATGTGTCAGTAGCTCTGCTGATGTAACGCAAATTCCTGAAAAGGCATAAAGTATTACTCTATTCTATACTGAACAGCAAAAGAAACGCAAGTTTCGAAAAAATGAAATCTCATGAAGGTAAGCGTTCATGTTTATGGAACGTCCATGGTAAAGTGACGTAATGATCCCAGATGAGATGATGTCATGCAATTTGACGTCCACGCGAAACATTCGCACAAACACACCAACAGTGCAGCAAAACCATAATATTAGCACGTGCCTCGACGGTTATGGATGAAAAGCATGCATTTCACTCTGAGGTATCCTTTATAAAGGTTTGTGTCAAAAACAGTTCAGTATTGACGCTAGGAGGTGTACACGCCACACAAATGATGCCTAGACTAACGACTGAGCAGAGGGGAATGGCAATTGGAAAGTTACACAGAGGTAGCACTGCAACCGCTGTAGCTAGACAATTGGGCTGTCATCTTACCACCATTACACGACGTCATCAGCAAAGCGGGTTGCTGCTGATCGTCCCCGTATCGGACGGCAACAAGTGACAACTCATGCGCAAGATCGGTTCATCCGGGGCACTCATCTAAGGAACCGAACTGAAGCAGCAACAGTAACAGCAGCCTTAGTTCTTAGGTCAAGGGGAGCAGTGCCAAGCGATACGATTAGGTGTCGTCTTCGGGCTGCTGGAATCCACTACCGAAGGCCATATGTGGGGCCTATTTTGGCACGTCAACAACGCCAGCGAAGTTTGCAGCCCTCACACAGCAAGGGTGTCGATGGATTATCTGGCTCAGATCAACATTAACGTCTCTTTCCCTGGATATGGCTCCCATTGAACATTCTGGGACGAAATTGGACGGAGGATTGCTGCAGGTAGACAGCCACTCACACTTGCACAACTGGATTAGAGATTGGTGTTTGAGCGGAACCAGTTGCATCAGGCATTCTTTCAGACTCTAGTGAAATGAATGAGGCCACGTTGCACGGCCTGTGTGCAAGCTGAAGGTGGCTATACGCGCTACTAAAGAGACTGTCACTTTTCGCGTTCAGGGGGTATCTCCATTTGACGGACTGTGATCAATTTGAACTTATTGCAATTCAATGTCAACAGCAACTTTTAGCTGTTACATTGACAGTGTTTTCTATAGAATAAATGATAAGACATAATTTGGGTTGTCTTCTATTCAAAAACTTGACAAAAAGCCAGACCTGCGTTTCTTTTGCTGTTCAGTATATTATATTCTACTACTATTACTAGATCTGGTGAAAAATCAACTGGTTCGCTCTTGGCCTGAATGACTGTGACCCTGTCTGACACTGTTGCTACATTATGATTATGTACGTGTGTTTGATATCACCATGTGTTACCATGGTTACTGTGACTGTACAAAGATGCAGTAGCCATCTGTGTCGGTTGTTAAAATGTTATGGCTGTATACACGCTTTCAGTTATCATTTTCTACAGTCGTACATATTTCTGCAGACACAAATCCACATGGGATTATGTTGATCATACACATTTCGATTGTCTGTCAAAAAGAGATAATGCAGGAATGATAATATTAATCAATACAATATTTAGAATAAAATAGTAAATATGTAGAAAATGCTGTACTATCATATATGAACATGATGAAGCAAGTTTCAGGATATTCAGTAAAAATACAGAATTTGATGTATGAAAATTTGCCCTCTCATGTTCATGATCAAAGATATTGTTGTTCCTTTGCCATGGTGAAGTGCAAAGCAAGACCACTGAGAATGATACAGCATAATTTTAAGTTTTCATTTTGCTATGAATTAATATAAATCAGATTCTAAGCTAGTGCTAATTTTGAACAAAAGTATGGTGCTGTTTTCCGAATTTGTCTGCCAAGGACATGGAGTTTGGCATTTTGTATAAACCCTTGCATGATCTGCCCGTACAATACATAGAGGATTCTAAACAACGTACCGTGTAATACCATTTTTATTAAACAAGCTTATGAGTTTAATAACAATGGTATTTCATGGACGCAACTATGGTATTCTGTTTATTACTCGCCAACATAAAGTGATAGAAACTGCCTACAGTGTGGTGACTCTCAGCTTTCCGCGAGTCAAGCAAGGTCTAATACCATTGTGACAGATACTAGTATTGTGACGTCATAACTGTAAACCATGGGCAAGCAATAGGCAAGTTTAAATACCTAAGACACATAGTATCTGATGCAATGATAATGATATGATTTGTTTGTTGGATTTGTTTGTGCTTTCCATTTGATGTTAAGACCTGTGTGCTTTTCCAGACTCGGCAGCATACGGGGAGACGAAGCTGCCGTCCTACGTGGACGCCACAACTCTACCCTCCTACGAGGAGGCGGAGAGAACCAAACAGGAGGAGATCCAGAGGCTGGACGAAGAAGGACAGAGAGACCCTGTACGTTACTAGTAACAGAAGGGGTGATGGGGTAGCATAGAGGTTAAAGCGTTCGCTCATCATGATGAAGGTCCGGGTTGGTTTCCCACATGGGTACAATGTGTGAAGTGTATTTCTGGTGTCCCCACCCATGATATTGCTGGAATATTGCTAAAAGCGGCGTAAAACTAAACTCACTCACTCGCTCACTCTTGTAGAAGTCTTTTTGCTGGCAAAGTTTTAAATTAAGAAATATTCTTTCTCTATGCTTGATCAAAATATAGCCATTGATTTATTGCTGGAATATTGCTAAAAGCGACATAAAACTAAACTATCTCACTCACTCGCTACTAGTAACAGGTGACGATATAGGTCACTCCCACTACAACACCACATAAGCATGGAAACATGGGTGGTGTGTATCCTGTTTATGTTAAGAGGTGCTGAGGTGTGATGCCAAACACCAAGGTTATGTGTTCATGCATACAATGCACATAGCCCATGTCTGGTGTCTCCCATCAGGATGTTCCTGGGCACTTGCTGAAAGTGGTGTATATGCAATTGTTTGTGAGGCTGATTACATGTCATACCCAGATAGTGTGGGTTGTTTTTCATAGCGTCAGTCACTTGATTGTCTGGACCTGGCTAAATTATCAGCATTCACTCATTCAGTCTTTTCCGAAACAACAAACATGACTTGGGGATGACTGTTGACACTGTCCTGAAAGACTGGAATTCAGCTCTTCAATCCGGAAAATGCCATATTTTTATATTCAGTCTTCAACCAACATGGCTTTAACATGCTTAGAGAGTGATAACAATTACAAATCTTGGTGATTTTCGTAACTCTATTTTTGAGATGTATTATCATAGTGTTTATTGATGTACAAATTGAATCTTATTTTTCCCCTTTAACTCTCAGTTCATTAATCAAGTGAATGTTTTATTATTATGTTGTTTTATGGAAAATATCTTCTAAACTTCAGTGAAAATCTACCTACAATTTCACATTTGTGCCAACAGAAGTCATAATAATAACAGGAGGTATACCCTACAGCCATCAATATAATGAAACCCATTGTAGAAAACATCAAAGTCAGTGTTATTTAGATACCCCGTGACTACTTTAAGTCAAGGCACATTTAATCTTTATTTCCATAAAAATATATAGCACGGATAAGGAAATCAGATAAAATTGGTATTTCAAATAAAAACTCATTCCAGACTGGCTATCGAAAGTCATGGGATAACTGCTTGTAAGAAACAGGTGATAGTACAGTTCCCTGTCATATCTCCTTATTCTAGGTACACAAAACTCCCGTAGACAGCCATATATGTCTCCAGGTATATCACAGATCATGGCTTCCTCTGAACACAAACTCTTTTGTTTCAGACTCAGGACCGGTTTACCGACATGACTATTGGAACAGATGGCATGTTTATCTGTACTTTTGTCAGTGAGTACTGTTGTTCTGCATCATGTGTTACACAACTTATTTAACTGCAGACGTGCATAGAAACAGTCAAGATCCATTTCTTCATATCAGTGTTAATCAATTCATCAACAATGACTTTTGACCAGAATAATGAGTTTTTCATACTGTTGTATGTGAAATATTTTTAATGTCATGTATCTCCTTTTCTCTGATAATTAATATGAAAGATCTTTGTCTTCATGCCAAAGTTATGATCAGTGAAGAGCAGTAATTAAAGTTTTAGTTCAGTGTTGCCGCTGGCATTTTTTACAGCTGGACATTGTGACCGGCTAGTCATTTGTAAATTTTACCGGTCAAGTGATCACACTTTTCACTGTGTGCAAGACCTTGCACCCAAACAACCAATCAGAAATGTAGAGGGTATTGCAATGCGCCAATGTCACTATTTTTAGCCTGGGGTTTTCCAGAACTGCTATTTTTTATTTGACAACATTGATGTCATTGTGAAAACGTAATCTTTTTCAAGTTAAAATATAATTGACAGAGGTAATTAGAAAATTGATTTTATAATTTGATGACCAACAGCCTTTGAAATTACCGGACATTCTAATTTTACACCTGTGAAAGTCTGGTATATACCGGATAACAGAAACACTGTTAATGTGATATAGTGGTAGTGAAGTACACTGAGTATACCAGTGGTTGGATCTACTGACCAAGAATGACATAGCTGTAAATTGATGGTATTGGTCTGTTATGAAATTGAATTATGGAACGATGTTGTATGACTTGAGTCAGTATTGTCATGTTGATGTTGTCAGTTGCCTTCCTGTTCAACTGGATTGGCTTCCTGCTATCCCTGTGCATCTCCAACACCGTGGCAGGCCGATGTGGTGCTCTGGCTGGCCTGGGACTCTCTATTGTCAAGTGGGTTGCCATCGTCAAGGTATGTCACAAACACACTGCTTTGTGTAGGTGCTATGTAGGGAAGAGCTTTTTTGTAAGTCAACACCATTCTGTGTTAGAAGAAGCATGAACACCTTGCACATTCGACATCAGGGGTCGTATTAAGAGGGACGCTTTGAAAACTCTGACCCCCATACAATTTAAATAAAAAAGGGGTTTAGGCCTATAAGATTTCAGCATTTGTAAGTGATCTAGTTTCATGTTTGTGCAGAGAGGTCAGAAAATAACAGTAGTAGTAAACGTGTTGTTGCATAGATGCCATTGTGCTGAGAGGATCTGTAATAGATATAACATGTTATAACATGCCTTTGTTATTTTGCCTGTTAATGTGTGTTATTATACTCAGAATTTCTTAACACCAAACACTTATTGTGTGTTTGGATTAATAAATTCCAAACAGAATTGTTCAGAAACACATTTGATTCTGACCTTTGGTCTTGAGAAATGCTATCATTGCCTTTAAAAGTCTTGAAATTTAGCTTATGTTTGTGTTGAATATGGTCCTTCTTACACTAACGTTTGGTTGAAGTAAAGAGTCAGTTGGGGATGTAGATGGTTTGACAGTGTAGCTAAAAGATCTTGCAACAGAGATCAACACTATCAGACTGGGACAGTGTACTGATTAGATGACATTACTCTGGTCTCAGTGAAGTGATGTGTTTCCTGCAACAGCAGAGTTCCTCCACCTTCATGACATTTACTCTAGTGACATGTATTACCCATCAGGAGAAGCCCGGTGTTGTCTGTAGTCACTAAAGGGACATAACTCTGTTACAGCACAATAACTGGGCGCAGGACTTTGCATCTGGGGACTCATGGTTGTGGTGGATCCTAGTCATCTGCGGTGAGTGCACACATCTCAGCATAGCAGTAGATACTGCCAAATGCTGTTTAATTAAGAGTAAGGTGTACAAATTTGTCCCAAGCAACTAGTCATAAAAAGTGACTGTTTCAATTTATAGCCGAGAGGGGAAAGTCAGTGGTTGTATCACCAGCAGTATCTGTCCATAATATGTTAAGAAATGGCACATGCTCAGTATTTAGGAGATAAAACAATGGCTCTCCAGCTCTGTCAGTATACTGTGTCTGAGTACAGTATCTATGTTAAAATCGACCTGTGAAGGTCCGGGCTAGAACTGATCCTCAGTAACCCATGCTTGTCGTAAGAGGCGACATACGGGATCGGGTGGTCAGGCTCGCTGACTGGGTTGACACATGTCATCGTATCCCAATTGCGTAGATCGATGTCCATGCTGTTGATCACTGGATTGTCTTGTCCAGACTCGATTGTTTACAGACTGCCGCCATATAGCTGGAATATTGCTGAGTGCAGCGTAAAACTAAACTCACTGACTCACTATGTTAAACCACGGCATGATATCTCTCGGTGGTCCAGCTCTATAAAACTGGCATTAGTCCAGAGGAGTACACTGTCACACACACAAGCATGCAGTGTATGAAATAAGCCAAAAACCCAGCCAGACATCAGGGCTGGTAACTTCAAATTGTTACCAGCCCAAAATGGATTTAACCAGACCAAACACCAAGATATGGTGAATTTATACAAATTTACTAAATGTTTTACCAGACCATCAGGCTGGCTAGCTGCAAATTTAGACTTTCCGTCAGAAATTTAGCCCGTCTCTGGCGGTTGGACGGGCCTTTTTTCATACACTGAAGCATGCGCTGTATGAAGTGTCAGACTTCTCACTGTGAGCCCCATATTACCACAGACTGACATTAATGTGGACCTGAATCAGTCATAGTGCTCAGATTTTTGAAAAATGCCCTGGTCCATTCTTGTCAACTTTTGTGTCATACACAGAGATATTCTGGAAAGGAGTTCTCATCTTATCAAATGTATGTTGAACACTATGTAATTCATCAATAACAAGATAGTTCACATGAGACATGATTCAGTATTAAATGACATTTTTTAATGATTTCAGGATTTCTCCTTTTCATCCGAGGCTCAATCCAGTATGTTCGAGTCAAATACGAGTGGAATCGAGTGGCTGGTCACATCCGACAGTACCGCCTCATCTAGATCACATCTGCACACAAACAGGCATTCACGGGATGTTCGACGGGATTTGCAGTCACAGCAGAGTTTGTACTAAGGGTAGTTATTCCATGTTAAACAAAATCCTTAAATTGATTACACTAGCAGAGACAGCAGATGTCTGTTGTGAGTGCAGATCCAGTGTCATTGAATTGAGAGAACAATACGCTCGATAAATGATATTATTCATTTTTCAAATGGAAGCCATTACCACGTTTGAATGAGGGATTGATAGTAACTTTCAGTTGGTAATCATGGTAAGGTAACCTTTGTATACTGCTATTACATGTTACTGTGTACATGTGGTTGTTGTGTGTAGTTTAATTTAAGTGTGCTACACCTCAAACAGATACTGCCTAAATATGTACTGTAATTAATGATCTTGTTTGTATCAACTATACCTACATTTAATTAAGCTACCAAGGGCATGTGTAATATCTGTACCAATGTTTTTTGAAGGAAGCTCTCTGTCAGTGTCTTAAGAAAACCTTTTCTTTAATGATACAGAATGTACCTCTACAGCTACCATCATGATTAAGTAGATATTTTTCAATACTCAATTCATTTAAGATACAGATATTGTCTTGTATTTAGGTGAATGTTTCCCTGTTTTTGAGCTAAAGGGCTTTTAACAATCTGTATATATTGTTTTGATTACATGTGACATAAATTTCTGCTTTGACAGTAGTCAATGCTTTCAGTGAATGTGGAAGATGAGAGATTGGTCTTTCATTGGTGTATACATTTGTTATATATTTGTGGGATATTTGTAAATACATTAAGTGACACTTGTAGCTCTTCTTACACTTAAGTTAGTAGTTTTTGTTGATACACTAGCTTTACAAAACAATTCAAATTGAAAGATGGTATATTTTAGTCCCAGGAGAGACATAAAGAGTGTTGTATTGACCATCGATGGAATCATGTCCCAAATACGGCACCTTTATCTCAGCAAAACAACAATGTGCATGAACCTTTTGTAGGAGCATGTGCAATGCATAGCAGTATTATATTGAAAATTATCCTTTTCAACTTTGATAGCACTGTATGTATGATAACAAACTACCTTTGCTGTACATGAAATAATCCATATTGAAATATACATTTGAATTTGGTGAAATTGTTTTCTCATCTAGAATTGAACTGTCCAGTGACGTATTAGATGTGAATTGAACTGAGAATACATGAATGTTTTTCCTTTCTGTGTTCTTCTGGAAATGTATTGGCTGTGAATTTACTGTTGTCCGAGTTTTAGACCACACCATATAACTCAATTATTGCTGACGTGGCTGTGTACACATTGAGGACCACAGAAGAAAGGGGGTCTCAATCACTGGTAAAACCCACCAAGTAATATTCATTTAGATCAGTCACTATCAAGGTAAAAAGATGGTATTTAGATGGAAGAATTCAGTTACCATGGTTACTAGGACACAACTGTTATGTCACAGGGGCCACAGGTTGAAGACATGAGTTTGGTTTGTTGCAGTATGCCAGACTCATTATTTGAGGGGGTGTTCGATGTTAATCTAGAAATATTGCAAAAAGCAAAACATTGAAACTCCTCATGCATCAAAAAGATTGGAATTTGGATTTTCTCATATGCCTTGGATGAAAATGTTGGAATATTTTTATATTTACTCAGACAACGATTAATGAAGGAAGCAGCACTTATACTCATACTGAAGAAAGATCATTCTTCCCTAAAAGTTTGGTCCATAAATGGATTTTGTTTACCCAGGCCTTGTTTTCTATGAGTTAATACCCACTTCCGCTGTCACCATCACTCGTGCAGGTGGGGTTTATGAAAGTGGTGTCATTTGACAGAGGTTTTACGTGATGGGATGGTGAAGCAAGAGACTCTCTGCTCCCTCTCTCTACAGTATGGGATGATATTGTATGAGAAATTACTTGACGAAATAGGTTGTCATACTAATATGTTTGTACTGATTAGAATTACACATATTCTGTACTTCAAAACCACTGATGCTGTCACTTATGGACAGGAATTATGTATGCAGAAATTATAACATATAATAGTTGAATTAGCAATAGGTAATTAGAGATACAATGATATAAGTTGTCATTGTTATCCCCCGCAACGCGTTTTGCGGGGGGTATTAAAATGGACTCCGTCCGTCCGTCCGTGCACATTTGTCTTTTCCGGAGCAGAACTCTAAAACCGTTCAATATTTCTTCACCAAACTTGGCACATACATGGATCTGGTGGTGTTGTGGTGCCTTTTGGTAGTTTTGGAATTCTGAATAAAATATTTTTGGCGTTTCCATGGCACAAGTTCGACTTAGACTGAAATTGGTGGTAGCGCTCTTTTTCCGGAGCAGAACTCTAAAACCGTTCAATATGTCTTCACCAAACTTGGCACATAGATAGATCTGGTGGTGTAGTGGTGCCTTTTGGTAGTTTTGGAATTCTGAATAAAATATTTTGGGGTTTCCATGGCACAAGTTCGACTTAGACTGAAATTGGTGGTAGTGCTCTTTTCCGGAGCAGAACTCTAAAACCGTTCAATATGTCTTCACCAAACATGGCACATAGATAGATCTGGTGGTGTAGTGGTGCCTTTTGGTAGTTTTGGAATTCTGAATTAAAATATTTTTGGCGTTTCCATGGCAACAAGTTCGACTTAGACTGAAATTGGTGGTAGTGCTCTTTTCCGGAGCAGAACTCTAAAACCGTTCAATATGTTGTCACCAAACATGGCACATAGATAGATCTGGTGGTGTACTGGTGCCTTTTGGTAGTTTTGGAATTCTGAATCAAATATTTTTGGCGTTTCCATGGCACAAGTTCGACTTAGACTGAAATTGGTGGTAGTGCTCTTTTCCGGAGCAGAACTCTAAAACCGTTCAATATGTCGTCACCAAACATGGCACATAGATTGATCTGGTGGTGTACTGGTGCCTTTTGGTAGTTTTGGAATTCTGAATAAAATATTTTTGGCATTTCCATGGCAACAAGTTTGACTTACACTGAAATTGGTGATAGTGCTCCTTTCTGGAGCAGAACTTTTAAACCCTTTCAATACTCTCCTTCCACTTTTCTATGTACACACCTAAATATTTGACATAATCATAACTCGTAGACATAATCATGAAGAGTATTTTGCCATTGCGGGGGATATTGATGACTTTGTCTTCTTGTTATGATGCTATTGCTTTCAGAATGAACATTAACCAAATTCAAATCTGATTTCTCATTCATTGTAAAAGACCTATGTGTTTTGTTCAAGTGATTGAAATATTTACTTTGGAAGGTGGGTGTGGCTGTGATGGTGTACTATTTCCTTATGTGGTTCAGTTTCTGTCAATTTTGTCCATTTCTATTGCAGAATAAATAATACTAAAGTGTTCACCATTGCTGTCTTTTTTTTTCATTGTGATTGATTACACTGTCAGCTGTGGTCACAACTTGATCATGTGGTGGCTGGTCTTCTAACATGACCCTTTTCATGCTCTACCTTGTGGGGAGTCCAGGTTCAAGTCGGTTCAAAGCAGCTGGGATGCCGTTGTACAAAGCAATCTTAGCCAAAGGTAATCTGATGCCCATACCTGGACACAGACTTATGACTGTTGTAGCGTTGAGGTTGGTTTGTACAATGTGCTGGCACCCTGGTCAGTGGAGGCCACCCAGCTGGATCTGGTCATCACACTCGGTGTTTGGTTGATGGAACGTCTTTCTTGATCCACTGGTGTGGGTTGTCCACAATATCTGTCACTGCACTGTCATCCAGATCAGATTGGTGACAGGCAGTGACCATACAGAGGGAATACTGAGGACTGGAGCATGCTGTGCAGGACAAGAATTGATGATGGTTGTGAGAGCACAGGAGTTTGAATCACTGTTTGGACAATAATTTTTATAAATAAAAATCTAGATTTTCGCAATCATATATTGTTTTTATATGTTATGATTAACATATATTTCAAATATGAATGAAATCGGTGAGGAAATAAACATTTTAGAAAATTCTACCACCACACTCATTATCAGCGTTCCAAATACCTGCCTGCCCGGACTGCCAGATTCTCAAATTCACCTGCCAGACGGTTGGTTAAAATTTAGACGTATATGAAGATATTCATCATATTTCAGTATAATAAATCATTATTAAATCACTCGTAAAAATAAATGACTAATTTCAATTTGGTGATAAACTACGCCGCTTGTCAAACCTAAATTATTTCGGGCCAGGTAAGTTTTGGTCGGGGCTGGCAAGTTTTACATCTAACCGGCCCTGTGGTCTGGCTGAAAGTTTTGGGAGTTTCATACCCTGTCATTATGTATATATTATTGTCCAAACAGTGATTGGAACCCCTGTGGTAGTGAGACATCAGTCCACACAACCACCACAGCGATGGTAACAAGCTTGAAACACCCCAATAATGATATCTAATCAGATTAATCTGCTGTCAGCTTAAATGTTTCTTTGTTGTGTAACACCTCAGTCAGCAATATTCCAGCTATTGGAGGTGGTCTGTAAGTAATCAAGTCTTTACCAGATGATTCAGTGATCTTCATCATAATCAATGATCTACACAGTTGGGAGTACACTTATACTAGACTAAGGCTTAGTCTCTGAATATATATAATTTGGATAGTAACAAACAAGCCCATTTATATTGAAAAGGAGCCCTAGGGAAATCTAGACTTGCTTTATTTAGGGCTTTAGCACTGCAGAGAGGGCTAGGCAGTAGGGAAAATAATGTTGTTCAGGGACTGTGAGACAGACTACACTTATACGTGTCAACCAAGTTAGCACGCCTGACCACCAAATCCCCATTTTCCCCCCTGTTTTATATTATTATTCCAGCATAGTAGAAAGTAGGTACAGTCACATGGGCATGAACAGATATACAGGCTTGTTTGAGAAACAGTTCAAAAGATGGACAATGAAAGCAAAGGGAAGTAACTCTATGGCTGTAACAAGGCTCAACAGTGTTCAAATCAGATGTAATATATCTGGTTAAAGTTGTGCAAGCTTGTTTGAAATACAAAGTTTAAGGCACGATGTTTTCAAAGGGAAGTAACTGGACCACACGATCCTGTTAGTCACTTCTTACGACAAGCATGTGTTGCTGAAGACTTAATTCTTTAAAGGATTTTCACAGGCGTGTTTGCTGACATTAAATACAGATATCATTTATTTAATTATGGATATTTGAATGGGTGATTCTAGAAAAAAGGCATTTTGAAAGGTTTTCTCACTTCCTGTGAGATGTAAAGACAGAGCTAAGCTGAACACTATTATGGTACTTGAAAGATTTATTGATATGTAGCGGGAAGTATTTTAAGATATCTGTAAATAACATCCTGCCCTTTAGGACCAGGATAATTCATTTGCTGTTCTTTCCTGTTGCATATACTTCATATCGACATGAGACTGAACAACTATCACATGACCTGAAATTGACAACAGGGATATAAACAAACCACTCAAAATCTGCTAAGGATCACCATTTTGAAAGGTAATATTGTGTGCTTAACGACTAAGTGCATCTTTTAAAAAGTGAGTGACAAAATTGTAAGTGAGTGGCTTCAGTTTTACCAAGCTTTCACCAATATTCCAGCAATATCATGGTGGGGCACCAGGAATGGGCTTAACACATTTTACCCATGTGGGGAATCGAACCTGGGTTGTCCGCGTGACAAGCAAACGCTTTAACCACTAACCTACCCCACCGCCCCAACAAGATTGTGTGAAGACATGCTAATGATATGAAATCTAAACAAGATTTATAAACCAATTATCACTCAGATTACCTATCAAAATCAAGAGAATCTGATCAAAGCTAAATATAGCACACTACTAGCCCCTACTGTTTCAACCTTACACACTTGGAACATTGTTGCACAATGAATAAAACAAAATCTGGTGCAAACAGAATTGCTTTGTGAATATAATGCTTTCAAAAGCTGCCGGACATACAGCTGTCCCGAACAAATTTCACTCATTTGACAAAACTAAAAATAGTAACCAGCCATTCCAAATCTTCTTGATCTGGGGAACTGGGAATTTTAAAATACATTCCATCTTTGTTTTAGCAGGCTCTACCTCAAAACTGCAGCCTTATCGGTTTGATAATATGAGCTCATATCAATAAGTAAAGCAGACTAAACTTCAAGAGCTTTTCCGCTTTACCCCTATATACACTTTGCAAAAACATGGTCCACTGATTCACTGATATCAAGCCTTATCTGAAAGATCAAATAATCTGTCACAGTGAGATACTGTGAGAGATATGATCTTCCAAGTTTGAATCTGAATTTTCTCTTTTCTTTTGTTTCTCAGCTTGAATTTCCTACTGCTAAATTCTCAACTTCTAATTTCCTTCAAGCCATAAAATTAGTCTTCTCATCAAGGCCAGATGAGCATCATCACCCTAAATTTATTCCTTAACAAGGAATGTAATCTAAATTTTCTTGACATGGACCTAAAGCATACCAGATTTGCTGTCAAGTTTGAAATATTTGGCTAATTTTATCAAATTGTTTGATCAGCATTCTAAAAGTTGGTGACTCAAAAATGAAACATACAACTTTATGGATGACATCTCCTTATTTATTGGGGGGTGGTGGGGTAGCCTAGTGGTTAAAGCGTTGGCTCGTCACCCGAAGACCCGGGTTCGAATCCCTACATGGGTACAATGTGTGAAGCCCATTTCTGAAATGCAAAAATCTCTGATGTGAGCTCAATCTGTCACCATATATGCATTCTTTGTCCTTTCGAAACTAAAATGAAGTCCTGTTCTGGTTAAATTACGCAGACATTTGTATAGCGTGATAGTCATTCTTAATCTATTTGATCGTCAAGTGTGATCCTTAGCAAACTTTGAGTAGTGTATTCACAGATCTGTACGAAGTTCGTTCTGTCACCGCATGAGAACTTTCTTCCTGATTGTCCGGATTTTACTTGAATTTCCCAGAGTTCCGTTCGACCGGATATCAAAAGTACATGCGCACCTGTAAAGGCGATTTCTGCAATAAGTGTAATTCGCCTGACAATATTGTTGAACTAAAATTAGAAGTTAAATAATAGACTGTTGAATGATTATTTAAACCAAAGCCAGTGAACGGAAAGTATGGGGAAACCAAAGAAAGGCAAGAAGGGACAAGCCGATGATGACTTGTAAGTGATTGTATGGCGACATTTAACCACATGTTGTTAACTTGTTTTCATATCAGCACGTATGCTGTCAGATAGGACTGACATGTGATTGTGTAAACGCATGTCACGGGCGATTAAATATAGAATCTTACGTTTGCTATCCGTTGCTAGCACATGAAACTATCGCCGGAAGTGGTGCAATTTAATTTGTCATTTGTTGAAGTAGTCTAATAATTATAGTCTCAGGCTGGTTCTGTCGTAGTCTACCAAGTACCATATTGGTGAAGGAGTCAAGAAAAAATACGCAGGAAATACTAGTAGTCGGACGGGCTGTGTTCAGACAATAAGTGTTTCCCTATTGAAGCGTTTTGGTTAAATACTTGTCCTGTATGACATATTGTCTTGAAATCCTTTCAATTTATTTCACTTCAAACACAAAACACCACAAAATCAGCAAAGGTAAGTTTCAAGTGTTTGAATTTAAAAAAAAAAGCTTTTAAGGTAAAATAAATGTGTTTAATTGAAACAGTCATGCAATTATAATGATGATGTGTCAGTTTCATTTTCCTGGTGTCAAACTATTGTTAATATGGCAACAAAAAACTGCAGAAAATAATAGTTCCATAATTAAATAAATGTAATTTTGAATGTTTATCACTTTACAGGATTTCACACTGATAGGGACTGATATATTGAACAAATGTGACATTTAGATTACTAGGATTGAAGATCCCAATAAAACATATAGTTTTAACTTTAGTTTGTTTTTCTCTTATGTAGTTACACAATGATTGTGTATAAGGTCCAGAAACGAGAAATTACCCGTATGAATGCTCAGTGTACAGACTTCAGCACAAACTGGTCTGAACTTGCCTCTTGAAATCATCAAGTCAGCGTATGGACTGTTATTAGTTGAGATTTCAGAGAAAAGATGTTCTAGACTTGGGCTTCCAAATGAGGCAATAACCACATACTGTTCTATTGCTTGGTAATGGAGGAGACTTCGGAACACCTTCAGAATTCAGTATGGCAACTTGTTCTAAGAAGATCCGGGTTAGAATTATTTTTCGGCAACCCATACTTGTTGTTTAAGAGACAACTAACAGGATCGGATGGTCATGGTTGCTGACTTGGTCAACACATGTCATTGTATCCTAATTACATAGATTGATGCTTAATCAGCTTATGATGTTGATCATTGGATTGTCTGGGCCAGACTCGGTTATTTACACACTGACACAAAAGAGCTGGAATATTGCTGAGTGTGGCCTTAAACAAACAAAATAATAATCTAAGAATGGACTAGGACATTTCACAAATTACATCATAAGGTATTTTTACTTGTATTAAAGGTTTCTGGTACTGAATTCTAAAGGTAGACCACCATTATGTTGGATTGAAATATCAGTCTGTGACTTTGATGATTGCTTCATAGCTATTCACATACGTGGTCAATATTTATGGTATGGGTTCGAATCCCAAATTCATCTTGACGGTCATGCTAGATTTGTTCATGGGTTCTAGCAAATCCTCTTTGATCTCACTTTACCTTACTGAGCTGACTACAATTATTGAAGCAATGTTAAACAAACCTCACTCATCTTCTCAATAAATGTGATAAATGACAAATAATATTGTTTTAGTGATTTTATTCAGGGTTTACTAATTTCACAATACAAGCTTTTCCAACCAACATCTAACCTTTGATATTGTTTGGAATATTCAATATCAGCCAAAGGATTATTTGTTGTTTAAATTAACCTTCCTGTTCTGTTAGTCCTTGATACCAATATGTTTGCAGTAGTGATGAGGAAGTTGTCATCGACCCACTGGCAGATATGGAACATAAAGAAACAAACCCTCACCTCAGTTGCCAAGGCAACAAAGAAAGGAAGGAAAAACAGGAAGAGAGATGATGATTTGTAAGTACCATAATATCTGTCAGTTCTATCAGTAGGAAAAGTAAAGCATGTCATCCATAACACATAACATATGTTTGATTGACAAGTCATCATCTTTTAAAAACACATACAAGTTGGACATCATGGGGCTTTATGTGACATAACATGCTTGTCATGCCACAACTTGCCCTGGTCAAATTTGAGTAACTGTAGTAACTTTAGTTCCCAAAAGACAAATTTTGTATTCTCACATCTAAGTTCAGGTCAGTGTAATATCTCAACTGACAATATATAATTTGATACGTTTCTAACAGTGAAGTGAATGGAGCTGTATAAGATGATAGTTGGTGTACATACGTCAATCTTTGGCGTTCAATTTCATAAACTACAGCAAGCATGTATGTACAAGGATAGTGAAGCATACAACTTTATGAATGACAGCTTCTTGTTTATTGCATAAAGCGACATTTTGGGGAAGATTCTGACACCGTTATCCAACTAAAAGACCGCTTGATAATGGTGTAAGAATTGTCACCGAAGCGTATGTTGTCATCCATAAAGTTGTATGCTTCATTATTTGCGTGCCAACTTCTAGAATGTTGATCAAACAATTATACACAGTTGACATGTATTACAGCAGGGGGCTATGTGATACCTTCAACAGGGGTGGAAATAACCCATTGCCCGACGCCCCAGTCCAGTGTTTTTTCTGTTGGGCTAGCAAATTTGTATGTCACACTGTACCGGTGTCCAGTTGACTTTCCAATGTTAATTATGTTGTTTATTTAAAAAATCAACAAGAAAATCGGCCGGTATAGTGGAAGAATTATCAGGGCAAGTGATTTTACATGTGCCACTGTACCGGAGTACACTAGCAATTTTTAAGTTATTTCCACCCCTGCTTCAAGCACTCATACAAGTCATGTACATATCTGTTTAACTGATGTTTCTGTGACCTCGCCTTATGATTAATTCCTGCCTATGAAAATAATGTTTTACAGTGAAGACGACGTGGCATCTGAAATAGCTGCTCTGTCCCTTGATATGAAGTTGGAAGAGAATGGTGAAGATGTCAAACCAGCTAAGAAGAAGGTGCGATATATGTGCTGTCATCACAGCCAGTCAAACAGTTTCTGATTCTTCTCTGCTATCTTGGTCCATGACCAGTCACACAAATGATAAGTCTAATATATTTAGATAATTGTTCCATTTGATCCAGATCATTCTATAAGTAGTCTGTGCAGACCATCCATATGAGGGGTGCTTTTGACTGGGTTTTAGACAGTAGTCAAGATTTGGTAGAAATCTGATTCTTTCAGAGACTTCTCTCTGGTTGGCATGTGACATGAAGGACAATATTACTTGAATGATGTGTCTCAGAGTGTGACAAACAATGCAACATAATCAATGAAGTCATGCATAGTAACAGGTGACTCTTCACACTTGCCTAATGTTATCATTTAAAAAAATAGACATCCATAATGCATAGTACAGTAAGAGCATATGGGTCTGTGCTAAATTAGCAAATAAAATGGCATATTTACATTAAGAAGTTTTATTACCTACAAGGGTGAACATATCGGGGTTCATATTTTTCATACAATGCCCTAGGCCAAAATATCACTTTGTCATGGTGACGTGACGTCATGAACAATGCTATGACGTCACGTTTCTTCTGTGACGTTGCGTTTTACATGCAGTGATGGCGGGTAGCCAGCCTGTTTTTGAAGGTAGATATTTGGGTTTATTTTCTTCAATTTGATGACTTCGGTAATAAACAGAATATTATATGAGTGCCAATATCATACTATGTTTACGACACTTGTGCCTAAATATCGGTCTATCCCTCGCTCTCGCTCAGAAAATACCAACATTTAGGCACTTGTGTCGTAAACATAGTGTGACATGGGCACTCATATAATATCCTCTATATGTTAACTTCCCATACAATGCTTAGTATCTTTATGGTCATTGCTGAATGACCACACCTGTCTCTTGTCTTATTGATATACAAATATCATAACAGACTGTGTGAATATAGTGCTGAAGAGACATTGGTTAATTAAAGTCATTGGACATGAACACATTCTGTGTTAGAACCTTGTTTCTAAAACCCATAGAAAAAGTTTTAAAAATGGTGGCCATCTTGGGAATGGCTGTCGAAATCATGTTTAGCTGGGCACCCAAAATGTCCTTCACAATATATTATACTGTTGAGGCATCAGGCTAGTTGGAAATCATGGTGGTTATTTGTCCTTCCATTTGGTAATCGGATGTGCTCATGGACTAATGTCTTACTATTTCTCAGAAGTGAGCGATTTTACATGATGATGATTGAATGTTGTAAATTTGGAACCAGATTAGTGTAAGTCTGGTTGAGACATACTCCACTGCAACATTGGATATGAAATGATCGTGTGAGGACCCCACTGTTACAAAATAGAGTAGGTCCCCTTGCTTGTTATAGTAGCAGATGAAAACATCACATCTTAAAGCATATAATGGCAGTGTAATTTGATGTGTGCTTATGTTGAATGTTTCAGGACAAGAAGAAGAAGAAGAAGGCTGTGTCCAGTGATGAAGAAGAGGAAGACGATGCTGAAGAGGTTGTGGTGAAATCAAAGGGGAAGAAGCCTATGGCCTCATTTCAGATGCTGATGATGGACGATGATGAGGAGGTAGGTTCACATGCTGATGAAGGACGATGACGGCGAAGTAGGTTGTAACTATTCTTTCGGGCACACCAGCTGGAATTATGAGGCAAAGTTGGTTTCCAGTATCCAGTAACTGCATCAAATGTTCAGGACATAATTTGTGAAGTAAGTTTGGAGTGCAGGATTCTTTAGTAGTAGTAGTAGTAGTTGAAGTGAAGGTTAATAGGGATGTTCGTTTTTGATGTTTCAAGTGACAAATGAACAGTGTTGTTTCGGCTTTGCGTTGTACATAAACAGTGCACTCTGTTTCAGAATGAGGCAAAAAGTGACGATGAACCAACTGAAGAAGCAAAAACTGATAGTGTTGTCCTTGAATCTGTCACGGAAAGTACAGCCAAATCTAAAAAAGACAAGAAGACCAAGAAGAAAGAGAAAGCCAAAACTGCAGAAGAAGAAGATATTGATGCAATTTTAGCAGCTCTTGAAAAACCTGCAGAGAAGAAGAAAGGAAAGAAGGGGAAGAAAGCAGAAGAAGATAGTGTTGCCATGGAAACAGATCAGAATGAGGCTGGTCCTTCAGCGACTGAAGGCCAAGTTGTAACAATGGATGATTTGGAAGCTGAATATGAAGACAAGAAGAAGAAAAAGAAGAAGAAGGAAGAAGAAGGCAGAAGATGATGAAGGTGAGAAGGTGGAGGAAAAGGATGAGGAGGAGGATGAAGAGGAAGGGAGCACTGTCAAGTCAGCAGCACAGAAGAAGAAGGAGAAGAAGGAACGTGAACGGCTGAAGAAGTTACAGGTTCGTTTATTCAGTGATTTATTTATGTTCAAAGTGGTTAAAAATTGTGACAATGAAAACTCCCTTCTGAGGGTCTGGACAGGCATTGTTATACAACTTCTACAGTGTCTAGGGGTGGCCCAAGAATCAAACATAAGATAGAACTGTAGGAAGCCAATGACATACTACTAAAGTACACAGTACACAGGATTTTTACATGTTAAACTGTCAGGGCATATCAGCTAAGACCGCAAATGATGAGCGTCGGGTGTATTGTGAATCTGAGGGTGGATTTACTAAACTCAGATGTGTTGTGAATATCTGAGAGCTGACTGATCAGTGTCAAGTGTCTTGTGACTATCTAAATGATGATGTTTCAGAAGAAGAAGTCTGCCTCAAAGGATGGAGAGAAGGAAGGGCAGAAGGAAGGAGAAGCAGAGGGTGAGAAGACAGAAGAAGGAACAGAGCCAGCTGGTGAGCTATTACCAGGTAGAACTGAGTGTTGAGGGAATCAGGCTCCCTCGGTGTCAAACAAGGGGACTCCACAGTGGTGCAGTGTATGATGCCCATTTCTGGTGCCCGCAACTTCCCACCCCAACCCCCACCCCACACACTATGCGTACACAATGTTTTGCCTCTGATAACTTGACTCAAAATGTTGTTGTCTCTAGTGATATTATAACAATTCCTTCCCAAATAATATTTACTAAGTTCAAGTGCAATATCTGCTAATCAGATTTTATTGAAGACCCACAGTACCTTTTGATCTGTTAATGATAAACACTTAAACCATCATCACATATAATCAGTCAAGTGGGGAATTATAGGGTGTGGAAATGATGATTTCTTGTCCAGTAAAGCCTTCCTGCAGATGACAGGTTTATCAAGATGTTTTTCACGCAATGTAGGTGATGATGCAGGAGAGGACCAGAAAGAAGAAGGAGAAGAAGGGACAAAAAAGAAGAAGAAAAAGAAAAAAGGAGAGAAAGAGAAGGAAGAAAAAACCAAGCCAAGCAAGAAGGTACGTGTGGCTACAGAGAAGCTGCAGCGTATGTTCAGGTTTCAGGACGTTGTCCTTGTATGAAGTGTAGATCAGGTGCTTGTTGGATATCCATGGTGAAATAGTGATCTTCACAAAATGCTGTTTTTGGTGTGATGTAAGCCCAGGGTCAGGCTCCCTACCCGGTAATATAGTTAGACCCCAGAAGTTTCTTTTTTAACCACCATTGTTCCAGCTCTTATTGTTCGACTCTCAGTCGAAATATAGTAATTACAGAAACAATGTGTCACAGTTACTATCTGTTTTAATCTGGTTGTGAGATCTGGGTTAGAACTTATCTTCAAGAACCCATGGTTTGCAACTAAGAGACGACTGATGGCATCCAGCATAGTCCAGGAATAGTTGTCTGACGCTGATACTGAAATTCGAATTGTTTCCTCACTGTAGTCAAGAATGTGCCTGTAGAGAGTTGTGTGATTGGGTGGTCAGACTCGCTGACTTGGTTGATCACAGCACTGTTCACTGTTGATCAGACTCTATTATGTACAGACTGCCGCCATATAGCTGGAATATTGCTGAGTGCAGCGTACACCTAAACTCACTGACTGTAGAGAGGTGGTTGTATTAACCCCTTGTCTCTCCATCTGCAGGTGGCTGCCATCAAAGCCCATCTGAAAATGATTCAAGAAGAACAGGAGAAGTTGAGGCAAGAAGAAGAGGAGAGAATCAGGTTGGAGGAAGAGGCGGAGAAGGCGCACGAGGAACAGGTGAGTTGACATGCTCAAGGGAGGTCACTCTGCTAATCATGGGCCACTTTCACCCCAGTCATAATTACTCTTCCAGTGATACCTTGACTGAGACCTTGTTTCAGAGAACTCTTTGCTTTGAAAAGTATATATGGTTTAAATGGACTTTGTCCGTGTACTAAATACATCAAGAGTGTTATTGTTTATTATTTATCATTACAAAGTGTTGGACATGTTTGTTATTGGGGACTGGTGCAGGTGTAGTGTGAACTGGTTGTAATGGATGGCTTCTAGTGTGTGTTGAGTGTGACGCTGTTGTTGCTCCACAGCTGCGGCTGGAGAAGGAGAGAAGGGAGAAGAAGAAGCAGAAAGAGAAGGAGAAGAAGGACCGACTGAAGGCAGAGGGCAAGCTGCTCAATGCCAAGCAGAAGCGGGACCAGCAGAAGATCAACCAGATGTTGACAGCTATGAGAGAACAAGGTAAGTCTCCTATACATTCCCCCAGACATATCACAAGGTGAGTCCCACACTACAGATATACCAGGTGAGTCCCATACTACAGATATACCAGAAGGTGAGTCCCACACTACAGAGATATCAGAAGGTGAGTCCCACACTACAGATAAACCAGAAGGTGAGTCCCACACTACAGATATACCAGGTGAGTCCCATACTACAGATATACCAGAAGGTGAGTCCCACACTACAGATATACCAGAAGGTGAGTCCCATACTACAGATATACCAGAAGATGAGCCCTGCACTACAGACTTACCAGAAGGTGAGTCACACACTACAGATATACCAGAAGGTGAGTCCCACACTACAGAATTACCAGAAGGTGAGTGCCACACTACAGATATACCAGGTGAGTCCCTTACTACAGATATACCAGAAGGTGAGTCCCATACTACAGATATACCAGAAGGTGAGTCCCCACACTACAGATATACCAGGCGAGTCCCATACTACAGATATACCAGAAGGTGAGTCCCACACTACAGATATACCAGGTGAGTCCCTTACTACAAATATACCAGAAGGTGAGTCCCACACTACAGATATACCAGAAGGTGAGTGCCACACTACAGATATACCAGGCGAGTCCCATACTACAGATATACCAGAAGGTGAGTGCCACACTACAGATATACCAGGCGAGTCCCTTACTACAGATATACCAGAAGGTGAGTCCCACACTACAGATATACCAGAAGGTGAGTCCCACACTACAGATATACCAGAAGGTGAGTGCCACACTACAGATATACCAGGCGAGTCCCATACTACAGATATACCAGAAGGTGAGTGCCACACTACAGATATACCAGGTGAGTCCCATACTACAGATATACCAGGTGAGTCCCATACTACAGATATACCAGGTGAGTCCCTTACTACAGATATACCAGAAGGTGAGTCCCACACTACAGATATACCAGAAGGTGAGTGCCACACTACAGATATACCAGGCGAGTCCCACACTACAGATATACCAGGTGAGTCCCATACTAAAGATATACCAGAAGGTGAGTCCCACGCTACAGATCTACCAGAAGGTGGGTCCCACACTACAGATATACCAGAAGGTGAGTTCCCACACTACAGATATACCAGAAGGTGAGTCCCACACTACAGATATACCAGAAGGTGAGTGCCACGCTACAGATATACCAGAAGGTGAGTGCCACGCTACAGATATACCAGAAGGTGAGTCCCATACTACAGATATACCAGAAGGTGAGTCCCATACTACAGATATACCAGAAGGTGAGTGCCACGCTACAGATATACCAGGTGGGTCCCACACTACAGATATACCAGGCGAGTCCCATACTAAAGATATACCAGAAGGTGAGTCCCACGCTACAGATCTACCAGGTGGGTCCCACACTACAGATATACCAGAAGGTGAGTTCCCACACTACAGATATACCAGAAGGTGAGTCCCACACTACAGATATACCAGAAGGTGAGTCCCACACTACAGATATACCAGAAGGTGAGTCCCATACTACAGATATACCAGAAGGTGAGTGCCACACTACAGATATACCAGGTGGGTCCCACACTACAGATATACAAGGCAAGTCCCATACTACAGATATACCAGAAGGTGAGTCCCGCGCTACAGATATACCAGAAGGTGAGTCCCACGCTACAGATATACCAGAAGGTGAGTCCCCACACTACAGATATACCAGGCGAGTCCCACAGTACAGATATACCTGAAGGTGAGTCCCACTCTACAGATATACCAGAAGGTGAGTCCCCACACTGCAGATATACCAGAAGGTGAGTCCCACACTACAGATATACCAGAAGGTGGGTCCCACACTACAGATATACCAGAAGGTGAGTTCCCACACTACAGATATACCAGAAGGTGAGTCCCACACTACAGATATACCAGAAGGTGAGTCCCACACTACAGATATACAACAAGATGAGTCCCCCGACGCTACAGATATACAATGACGTGAGATTCCTATGCTAGAGACTACAGATATGCTAGTTGCGTATGTCTCAGACATCACAAGCTGAAGTTTTTGTTGGTCGTGAAGCTATAGAGTTGGGATGAGGTCCTTCAGCCAGTATATACCAAAGGTGTTATTGACATATAATGCAAGGAATTTCCCTTGATTTATGACATTTGACTGACTTTTCCTCAAGAACCGTTCAATATTTTTCAACAAAACTTGGTAGATGTATGAAACAGAACCTTAGTGGTGCCTTTTGCTATTTGCCGATTTTTGGCATTTTATTTTTCTTGGTTTCCATGGAAACATTTTGGACTTAGTCTCAAAAGTGAGGGTGGGCTTCGTTTCGGAGCATAACTCAAGAACCGTTCAATATTTTTCAACAAAACTTGGTAGATATATCAAACAGATCCTAAAGTTGTGCCTTTTGCTATTTACAGATTTTGGCATTTTTATTTTCCCGGTTTCCATGGAAATGATTCGGACTTAATCCCAAAAGTGAGGGGTGGGCTTCGTTTCGAGACATAACTCAAGAACCGTTCAATATTTTTCAACAAGACTTGGTAGATATATCAAACAGAACCTTAAGTGGTGCCTTTGCTATTTGCAGATTTTTGGTATTTTTATTTTCGGTTTCCATGGAAGCGATTCGGACTTAATCCCAAAAGTGAGGGGTGGGCCGTTTCCGAGCATAACTCAAGAACCGTTCAATATTTTTCAACAAAACTTGGTAGATATATCAAACAGAACCTTAAGTGGTGCCTTTGCTATTTGCAGATTTTTGGTATTTTTATTTTTCCGGTTTCCATGGAAACGATTCGGACTTAATCCCAAAAAGTGAGGGGTGGGCTTGCGTTTCGGAGCATAACTCAAGAACCGTTCAATATTTTTCAACAAAACTTGGTAGATGTATGAAACAGAACCTTAAGTGGTGCCTTTTGCTATTTGCAGATTTTGGCATTTTTATTTTCTTGGTTTCCATGGAAACATTTTGGACTTAGTCTCAAAAGTAAGGATTGCTTTCGTTTCCGGGCACAACTCAAAAAAACCGTTCAATATTTTTCAACAAAACTTGGTAGATATATCAAACAGATCCTAAAGTTGTGCCTTTTGCTATTTGCAGATTTTTGGCATTTTTATTTTCCGGTTTCCATGGAAACGATTAGGACTTAATCCCAAAAAGTGAGGGTGAGCACAACTCAAAAACCGCTCAATATTTTTCAACAAAACTTGAGTAGATGTATCAAACAGAACTGTAAGTGGGTACCTTTTGCTATTTCAGATTTTTAGCATTTTTATTTTTCCGGGTTTCCATAACGATTAGGACTTAGTCCCTCAAAAGTGAGGGGTGGGCTTCGTTCATAACTCAAGAACCGCTCAATATTTTCAACAAAACTTGGTAGATGTATGAAACAGAACCTTAAGTGGTGCCTTTTGCTATTTGCAGATTTTTGGCATTTTATTTTTCTTGGTTTCCATGGAAACATTTTGGACTTAGTCTCAAAAGTAAGGATTGCTTTAGTTTCGGAGCACAACTCAAAACCATTATAATATTTTTCAACAAAACTTGGTAGATATATCAAACAGATCCTAAAGTTGTGCCTTTTGCTATTTGCAGATTTTTTGGTATTTTTATTTTTCCCGGTTTCCATGGAAGCGATTCGGACTTAATCCCAAAAGTGAGGGTGGGCCGTTTCAGGAGCATAACTCAAGAACCGTTCAATATTTTTCAACAAAACTTGGTAGATGTATGAAACAGATCCTTAAGTGGTGCCTTTGCTATTTGCAGATTTTGGCATTTTTATTTTTCTTGGTTTCCATGGAAACATTTTGGACTTAGTCTCAAAAGTAAGGATTGCTTTAAGTTTCGGAGCACAACTCAAAAACCAGTATAATATTTTTCAACAAAACTTGGTAGATATATCAAACAGATCCTAAAGTTGTGCCTTTTGCTATTTGCAGATTTTGGCATTTTTATTTTCCCGGTTTCCATGGAAAGCGATTCGGACTTAATCCCAAAAGTGAGGGGTGGGCCGTTTCGGAGCACAACTCAAAAACCTCTCTATATCTTTCAGCAAAACTTGGCAGATATGTGAGGCAGATCTTGAAGTGGTGCCTTTGCTATTTGCAGATATTTGTGATTTATTATTTTCTCGGTTTCCATGGAAATGATTCGGACTTAGTCTCAAAAGGAAGGGATGGGTTTACCGTTTCGAACACAACTGGAAAACTTCTTAATATCTTTCAGCAAAACTTGGCAGATATGTCAGGCAGATGCCAAAGTGGTGCCTTTGCTATTTGCAGATATTTGTGATTTATTATTTTCTCAGTTTCCATGAAAACAATTTGGACTTAGTCTCAAAAGGGAGGGGTAGGTTTTGTTTCCGAAACACAACGCGAAAACTTCTTAATATCTTTCAGCAAAACTTGGCAGATATGTGAGGCAGATCCCAAAGTGGTGCCTTTTGCTATTTGCAGATTTTTGTCATTTATTTTTTTCATGATTTCCATGGAAACGATTTGCACTCAGTCTAAAATCAAGCTGGACTTTAAGTAACTGTCAGATGATTTGTTCTTTCAAAGATGTGGGGGCCGGGGGGATATGTCATCTTCTGATGACTCTTGTCTACATTATGTTATCTAAATAACTGCATGTTTCAGGTCTTGATATTCCTGATAAAGACGCCACTCAAAAGAAGCGTCCGTTTTATGGGGACAAACGGAAGAGGAAGGATCACCAGAAGAGTATGTGGTTAACTTGATGTTGGCCAAGCGTTTGGCATTACGATACATCTGTCATTCCAAAATGATAAATCATTTGTTAGCAAAATATCAGTGTCATCCATTACACAGTAATGATGTGTTGAGTGGATTCCTCATCAGCCATCCTTGATTACACAGTAGTCTACGGCACCATAAGTACACCAGAAACCTGTGATTGTGGGTTTGAAGCACAGATCACTTGTGTGCTGATCTCTGGGAGAAATGGAAGACAGTTTAGGCTTAACAAATACTTCAAGTCTCAGTCTTCACACTTACGTACAAAACCAGCTAAAGATTATGACTTCTGATTCAAGTAAATATTTCTAGGATCGCAATTTTTCAATCAGACATGGAGGGAATAATAGTCCATTGCATTTTGTATTTTCGTTCAAAGAAATTGGAGATTAGCAACAGTATGCATATTTTGAAACCACCATAAAGAGCAAATCTGTGCAAAGCTGGTGGTTAGAAACATCACTTCACAAGTGATTCTTTTTATCAAACTCCTCAGCATGTCAGGAAGAACATCTGTGAAGCATGTCATCGATATCTTTACATCAGAGTCAGGGAAATGGCTATTTCCCTGTACTGTTTCACAATGATCATCAATATAGGATCGCAGAAATGAATGTCACACATTGTAACCTAGTCTCTGTGTGTGACAAGTTGACATTAGAAAACTGATCTACCTCTCTGACATGAAACATCCAAACTGATGACATTGTGTTGACCCTGCAGCGGAGACGGAGCAGACACCTTCACCGTGTGAGGAAAAGACCCCGGTGATCGAGAACGTCCCTGAGAAGGCAGCTGTGGAGGAGACGGGGAAGGAGACGGGGAAGGAGAAACCGGCTGCTCAGGTGAAGGATTCCTGGGAGGAGGACGATGTGAAGGATACGTGGGACGTGTCTGATGAGGAACCGGAGCCAGAGAAGACGACACAGGAACCCAAGACAGGTGAGACCGGTTAAGTTAGGATGGGTGAGACCATTCCTGATGAAACATTCCTGGTGAGACAATGACAGGTGTGTCAGTGAGAGGGGAAACTCTGACCGTGACACCAAGAAAGGTAGAATTATGACAGGTGGGCCTTTGTAAGGTGAGACAAAAGTTGTTGAAATTATGACACAAGAGACCATGACAGCGAAAACTATGACACGTGAAACGCTGATGGGTGAAACTATGATAGGTGAGCTGTGGGTTTTGTGTACAAACTTTACCTTTCATTAAAAGGGTTTTATTGTTAGTCTCTCTCCTTGTGGGGTACAATTATACCACTGTACATGATATGCAGTAGGGGAGATTGCTCATTCAGTTTACAGATTGCAGCTAAAATATATTAGACTCCTGAGTGAAAGATTTGCTTGCTACCTTTTTGACATGACTGTCACAATTTGCAGAAGTTTGTCACTCCTGGTTATAGAATGAGCCCGTCATCAATGTGCAACTGTGACTACAACTTCCATGGTCTAGTGTATGAAGCAACTGCACAGAGAGCAGGAGGCCGGCTGCCATGCTGTACCTAAATATGCTAAAAGATGGTACTTGTTGTTACCCTGCATGGTGCTTGTTGTTGTGGTGATAAAATAGGACTGGTCAGCTCAGAATTCATAGCAAGGTCAATGGAGTCCAAAGTCTCCGTGTCTGTGCTGGGTATCCATGTGACTGTGACATGGTATCTCATGGTTTTAACACTAAATCCAGCTTTAGTCTGACAAGGAAATGCATGTGTGGCATGCCACGCACACACACATGCGCTTTGCAATGTTAGTGCAGTAATCGAAAATGCAATCCTAAAACAAATTTCACCTCACTGCAAAGTGTTAAACTGTCTTAAACTACAAAATATTTTGTTGTACAAATTCTTGTTGTTTGCTCGAATATTGCCCATCACCCTGGCAACTGTCACCACCTTTGTCTGAACCTACGAAGGCAGAAAGTCATGAGGCTCCTTTCAGTGGCAATGTTTAACATTGAATGTGTGGAAGGGAATGGGTCAGACATCAGTTGCATCTGTGAGATATGTCTCTTCCCCAGAATCAGCAAAACCATCAACGTCAGCTAAAGATGAATCGGAGGAGGAAGATGGTGAGGATGAATCGGAGGAGGAGAGTGATGAGGAGAGTGATGAAGACAGCGATGAAGAGACGGACAGCAGTGAAGAATCATCTGATGAAGACCTGACTCCCACAGAGAGGGGGAGGGATAAGGTTGAGGTGGGTAGATGACATTTGATCTCTACACTGAAAAAGGACAATTTTTTCTTATCAAAGTAAAATTGATATTTTATACTTATCCTGACCCAAGCCCTCCCAACCTCCCCGCTGGAAACACTTAGGATTTCACAGCAGATCCAAGTGCATGGGCAGAAAAATCAGGAGAGAGTGACAATTAAGGCTGGTCACATGACTGTTTGCGTGGGGAACAGTGGCATCCAGTACTTATAAACTTGTGTGGCAATAACTGCAACATGTATCTCCCTCATCTTTAGACCCCACCACCTCACTGTCACAGGTACTCCACCCATGTTAATCATGTTTGCAGATGAAAAGTTTGACAGTAACAATTACCTTTCAAACTTTATTTCTCATTACACTGTTACATTAAACTCCCTTCTAACACATCTTTGAAAGAACCTACTAGGTGTGTTTTTTTATTCAGAAATGGGCTCGAGAATGTGAAAAGAGGAGATCCACTAATGTTCTTCGAGCTCCTGTTGTTTGTGTGCTGGGTCACGTTGACACAGGCAAGACGAAGATCCTGGACAAGGTAAGACAAAACAGTGTCTGACAGCTGCTGATGTGTGATGAGTGTAACTCCCTTGGCCACTGTGTATGGATAACCAGTCAGAATAGGCCAACAGTTAGCCCCTGTTATCTCGCTGGTTGTTTCATAGTTTCCTTTATAGGAATCATTGCTCAAGCTTTCTTTCATTGTTTTGTCTGGATGTCATTGTGTTGCCTCAATGTTCCTGGACTGTATTGATGAAGGTTGCCTCAATATTCCTGGAGTATTGATGAAGGTTGCCTCACTGTTCCTGGAATGTTGATGAATGTTGCCTCAATGTTCCTGGAGTATTGATGAAGGTTGCCTCAATGTTCCTGGAGTATTGATGAAGGTTGCCTCAATGTCCTGGAGTATTGATGAAGGTTGCCTCAATGTTCCTGGAGTATTGATGAAGGTTGCCTCAATGTTCCTGGAGTATTGATGAAGGTTGCCTCAATGTCCTGGAGTATTGATGAAGGTTGCCTCAATGTTCCTGGAGTATTGATGAAGGTTGCCTCAATGTTCCTGGAGTATTGATGAATGTCCTGGGTATTGGTTGCCTCAATGTTCCTGGAGTATTGATGAAGGTTGCCTCAATGTCCTGGAGTATTGATGAAGGTTGCCTCAATGTTCTTGGAGTATTGTTGAAGGTTGCCTCAATGTTCCTGGAATGTTGAAGGTTGCCTCAATGTTCCTGGAGTATTGATGAAGGTTGCCTCAATGTCCTGGAGTATTGATGAAGGTTGCCTCAATGTTCCTGGAGTATTGATGAAGGTTGCCTCAATGTTCCTGGAGTATTGATGAAGGTTGCCTCAATGTTCCTGGAGTATTGATGAAGGTTGCCTCAATGTTCCTGGAGTATTGATGAAGGTTGCCTCAATGTTCCTGGAGTATTAATGAAGGTTGCCTCAATGTTCCTGGAGTATTGATGAAGGTTGCCTCAATGTTCCTGGACTGTTGGTGAAGGTTGCCTGAATATTCCTGGAGTATTGATGAAGGTTGCCTCACTGTTCCTGGAATGTTGATGAAGGTTGCCTCAATGTTTATGGAATGTTGATGAAGGTTGCCACAATGTTCCTGGAGTATTGATGAAGGTTGCCTCAATGTTCCTGGAGTATTGATGAAGGTTGCCTCAATGTTCCTGGAGTGTTGCCTCAATGTTCCTGGAATGTTGATGAAGGTTGCCTCAATGTTCCTGGAGTATTGTTGAAGGTTGCCTCAATGTTCCTGGAGTATTGATGAAGGTTGCCTCAATGTTCCTGGAGTATTGACGAAGGTTGCCTCAATGTTCCTGGAATGTTGAAGGTTGCCTCAATGTCCTGGAGTATTGATAAAGGTTTCCTCGATGTTCCTGGAATTGTTGATGAATGTTGCCTCGATATTCCTGGAGTAGTGATGAAGGTTGTCTCATAGTTCCTTGAATGTTGAAAGTTGTCTTGATGTTCCTGGAATGTTGATGAAGGTTGCCTCAATGTTCCTGGAAATATTGGTGAAGGTTGCCTCAATGTTCCTGGAGTATTGATGAAGGTTGCCTCAATGTTCCTAGAATGTTGATGAAAGTTGCCTTGATGTTCCTGGAATTTTGTTAATGGCTGCCTTGATGTTCTTGGAATATTGATGAAGGTTGCCTCAATGTTCCTAGAATATTGATGAAGTTTGTCTCAATGTTCCTAGAATGTTGATGAAAGTTGCCTTGATGTTCCTGGAATTTTGTTAATGGCTGCCTTGATGTTCTTGGAATATTGATGAAGGTTACCTCGATGTTCCTGGAATATTGTTAATGGCTGCCTTGATGTTCTTGGAATATTGATGAAGGTTGCTTCAATGTTCCTGGAATATTGATGAAGGTAGCATTGATGTTCCTAGAATGTTGTTGACAGTGGTGGTAGCCACTCACTGATTGTTGCCTGTTGCAGCTGAGGCGGACACACGTGCAGGACGGGGAAGCTGGCGGAATCACGCAGCAGATCGGAGCCACCAATGTGCCGGTGGAAGCTATCATGGAACAAACAAAGATGTGTAAAGAGGTGAGGTTTGCTAGGAGCTGTGACATAACTTCAGTGCTTCCCCTTTGTATCCTGTATAGTTCTATGCTTTAGGCAATTTTATCACTGGTTTGTCGGCAGTGTATTTGACAGGTGTATTAGTGGATTGATTTACAGGATAAACATTTACCAAGAATGTCTTCTAGTCCAAGTAGTGATAACAAATAGATGTACAGCCCAAAATGGTTGACCAAATGATATCCGTCATCAAGGTGGAAGACACTCCTATGAACCAGGGATAGAAATAAGGACCAGTTTTGCTTCTGTTAGGAACCCTTGTGGCTTGTAAAATTTCTATCCCTGGTTCATAGGAGTGTCTTCCACCTTAATGACGGATATCATTTGGTGGTCGGTGGTGTAGTAGTTGGGTAGTTTGTGGCATGTTGATCGTGTTTCATTGTATCCAGATGTACCTGAAAAGTAAAGAGATGAATGATCATGATTAAAATTGGGATTAAGCAACATTCGCAGTTGTTTCACAGCTATATTCGCGGATTTGTAGAACTGAACATTGTATTCAACACATGTGACAGTGTGGACAACCTGACATACAATTAATATCCTGATGGTAACTGCATCTTCTTGTTCCTGTGAGGTGTTCTATCTTGTAATTCAATCTCTCCAGGAGAAATGGGTTTCCTGACAGCTATTTCAGAGTATTTGGTGTCCACTAACTGATGTTCATCCCGTGTGCAGTTTCAGAAGCAGCCACTCAAGGTGCCAGGTCTCCTCATCATTGACACTCCCGGCCACGAGTCTTTCAGGTGAGATCACCAACTTCAACCTGCTTCATCTGGGGGCTTCACATCCATCTCTGTAGTAATACTAGTATGTTGGATCTGCAAACCAGATGTAAATTTCTATTTGAAACCATACACCCAGAACCCCCAAAACTGTGAACAATACTTGCAGGTTTATTGTTTTGACTTCTGGAATGTTTCTTATGTTCAGTTGGTGTAACCGAGAAAGTGAGGATGACAATGGTTATATATTATTCGCTCTTCGTAAAAGGTTGCCCATTGTGTGGTATGTTCTCTGGTTTTTGCCCCACTCCACTGCACAGATCTATCCATCCATCCATCCATCCATCCATACATGCATCCATTGAGACATTCATTCGTTCATTGAATCATTCACCGCCTCCGTGGTGTAGTGGTTATAGAAGGTCGCGTGTTCGATCCCTGGTCGTGTCATACCAAAAGACATTAAAATATGGTACTTGTTGGTGCCTGCCTGGCACTCTGCGTTTATGGGTACATTAAGGACTGGTCAGCTCGGAGTCAGTATTATGTGTCTGAGTGGGGTATTCATGCTCAACTGCGGCACTATAACACCAGCACAAGTCTGGGCAAGTACAAGCAGTCACACATACACGGAGGTACAGATAAGTGGCGTATCTGCATAAATTACGTGAATATTTGTGTGAAAACTAATTCCTATTAAGTCGATTGCTTACAAGTATGCTTGAATTTTTGTAAAATACTCAATAAATTTGATCTTAAATGCAAACAAAAATAGATAGGTTAACTGAGGTACAATGAGAGGTTCTATTTCAGCACCTGAACTTGGCAACTTGCAGTCTTTCTTATCGTTTCTCATATTACAGATCAAATATAACTAACAAACACGTAAACCAATATTTAAACTTTAATATATTTTTGCATTAATGTAAAATGGCAAAATACCCAATTGGGTTTGAGAGAGGTGGGTACAGTTTATTTGGTTACTCAAAGGAAAATTTGGATACCCAATTGAGATGAACACAAACGAGTGCATAACTCAATGACCCAAGAAATTATCTGTAGCTGTGCATGCACATACATGCACATTGTCATATGAGAGAAATAATCTCAAGTACGACATTAAACCCTATTTCACCTCACTTCACCTCATTCATTCATTCATTCATTCATTCACACATTTCATTTAGACCTTCAGGTATACACATTCATTCAGTCAGTTGTTCAGACATACATTCACACAATTCATTCTCATCTCTCTATCTTCTCCCATCCAGCTGTTGTTGTGACTGACTCCTCAGCTTTGCCTTGCTGCCATATATATTAAGAATCAGCTCACTATTATTATTTTTTATATAAAATCGTGAAATTTGTAAAACACTAGCCACATGCCTCGTACCTCACACTTGCCTCATTCCGTATATTAGAAACTTGATCTAGTATGTGAAATACTTGACAGACCAGAAGTTGTTTTCTTACATATGAGTGAATGAATATTTACATAGATAGAGGTTGTGTTCACATTAGGAAGTTTGGAGATAATTCTGTGCACCATCACTGACAGATGAGTATCCAGCTTCAGGATGAGAGGATGTATATGACTATAGGATGGTCCCCACGAGCCCCTTGATAAGCCTCGTGTCTACCTGTCTGCTCTCCCTTCCAGCAACCTGCGATCCCGTGGCTCCTCTCTATGTGATATTGCCATCCTTGTCGTCGACATCATGCATGGCCTAGAACCTCAGACTATAGAATCCATCAACCTTCTCAAGGACAAGGATACACCGTTTATAATTGCCTTAAATAAGGTAGGTTCCACAACAGCTTCCTGATTCTGTATCAAGCAGCTCTGAAGTGGGGGTGGTGGTGGTTGGGGAGGTAGGGTGGCCTAGTGGTAAAAGCATTTGCTAGTCATGCCAAGGGCCTGGGTTTGATTCCCCACATGGGTACAATGTGTGGAGCCCATTCCTGATGTCCCCTGCTGTGATATTGCTGGAATATTGCTAAAAAAGCGGCGTAAAACCATACTCACTCACTCACTCACTCCTTGGCCTTGTGGTTTGGGAGTGCTCAGTTACACATTTACATTTGTGTATGAATTAGCTTCTCGATGTGAGACCATCTGCCTGAGAGGTTGGTCGGTGGTTCCATCTTTGGCACTAGAAGTTATTGAAGTAATGTACTACTTGTTGTCACCCTGCCTGGTGCTCAGCGGTTAAAACCGGGACTGGTCAGTACAGTCTGTATACCGACTATGCTTGTCGTAAGAGGCGACTAAGGGGATCGGTTGGTCAGGCTCGCTGACTTTTCGTTGACACATGTCATCGGTTCCCAATTGCGCAGGTCGATGCTCATGCTGTTGATCACTGGATTGTCTGGTCCACACTCGATTATTTACAGACCGCCACCATATAGCTGGACATTGCTGAGTGTGGTGTAAAACTAAAGTCACTCACTCACTCACTACAGTTCTTAGTGGCAGTGTCCATGTTAACCAGCAGCATGCACACTGCTGTATAAGTGCAATAATATTGAACACAGTGTTTAATCACATTTCACTTGACCTCTAAAGTGGGTATTGGGTGGCTGTGGTAACTGTTTCATATGAATAAATCTGGGACAGTTGGAAAGGCTAGGTATGATCATGAGTTATCCCCCCTTTGGTCAAGTAAAATAGTACTCGCACATTCTTTGAAGTTGTGCCATAAAATATGATTCTGATACTGTAGTGAAGCATCCCGGATATGAAATATGCCTAAAGAAATATGTGAACAGCATTCTCTGAATTTGTATTACTTCCTTCTTGTAATCAACCCAAAGAGAGGTTGGTAACATAGGGATTGTGTATTTACGTCTTGGTTCAATATGATTTGTTTGTTGACGATGTTGTCCAGATTGACCGCCTGTACCAGTGGAAGGCTGGCCCCCGGCAGCGATGTCCAGAATGTGCTGAAGAAACTGACAGCCCACACACGCAGCGAGTTTGATGAGAGGATGAACCAAGTGATAGTGCAGATGGCTGAACAGGTATGTGCAGTTTATAAGGATTTATATAGGCCTTAATGAAATATGAACAAATAAAGAAAGACCAGTTTTGAACAAAAGCATTCTCCAGTTTGTCTGGGCGGTGGGGTAGCCTAGTGGTTAAAGCGTTCGCTCGTCACACCAAAGACCCGGGTTCGATTCCCCACATAGGTACAATGTGTGGAGCCAATTTCTAGTGTGATATTGCTGGAATATTGTTAAAAGCGGCATGAAGCCCAACTCACTCACTCACTCACTCACTCCAATTTGTCTGCCAAGGCCTCGGTGTTTGAAGTATGTGTAAAATCTTGGTTTGATGCTGAAGCTGAAGAATTCTGTACTTGCACAAGTTTTGTTCAAGTGGGTTCACTGGGATATCCTCCTTCAATAATGATGCACACAGGATTCTGATATTGAACATGGATTCATGAGGAAAGGATTTTTATATATAAGATCATTTGAGTGTATTTTCCATCTGGATGTGTAATGTTAGATTTGCAGTTAGCATGTGCATGTCCATCTAGAACAGGTCTAGAAGGAACTAGGCTGATTGTAAGAGATGACCAAATTCATCAGTCATTGGACCCTGTCGGGCCCATGGTTGGTAGTATGTCATATGCCCCCATGGCAAGGATTGCTGTCACCAGATTGTCTGGTCCAGACAGATAGGCAAAATGTTAACCCACAAACAAATATCCTGTTTGAGGAATAATGTGTTGCTTTGTGTATTTTTTAATTAACAAGTTTGTTTTTGTTCAGAATTCAACTAATTCTACTCAGCATCAATCAGAACTGATTCTTGTAATGGAAGATGACTCAGAAGTAGCATGTCTTGAAAGAATGACATTTGTAAGCAGTGTTTTGTGTGTTCATGTTCTCATGTTCAGCTGTCGGTTGCTTGCAGGGTTTGAACGCGACATTATTCTTCGACAACAAAGATCCATCAGAATACATCTCCATGGTGCCAACTTCTGCCCACAGCGGTGACGGCATGGGCAACCTCATCGCCCTCATCTGTGAGATGTCGCAGACGGTGTTGGCAGAGAGAGTGGCGTACAGTGAAGCCCTACATGCGACTGTGATGGAGGTAAGGCAGACGTTGTATCTCTCCTAGTTTATTGGCATCTGGAAGCAAGGGACCATCTCCGTGGTGTAGTGGTTAGAGCGTCCGCCCGGAGAGTGGATGGTCACGGGTTCGATCCCCGGTCATGTCATACCAAAACACGTTAAAATATGGTAATTGTTGGTCCCTGCCTGGCGCTCTGCATTTTGGGTACAACAAGGACTGGTCGGCTCGGAGTCAGTATAATGTGTCTGAGTGGGGTATTCATGCTTCACTGCGGCATGGTATCTCAGTGGGCTAGCACTATAAAACCAGCTTAAAGGTCACATGCAACGTAAAACACAACTTTGCAGATTCTGATACCTTTCGGTATGGACTTACCGAAACAAATCGTCAAAAATGCAAATTCAACTTATAAAGTTGAAAAATAACGCGATGAAAAAAACGCGCAAAAATCGGAGTTCAAACGTTTCACTAATTTTCCCCCGACTTTTCTGGGGAAAACGGGTTTCAACAGCTGGGCTGCGCTTATAGCACGTGCGCAGTGAAGTAGGTTCGTGCAGCTTGGAAGCGGTTGTCCGGTGAATGCTCGGTGAAGACTTTGGTGTGAGCTATTTTTCTAATGTTTTGTTGATATCTCACAGGCGCGAGCTTTTTATATGTTATGACAGTAAATTAACTGTTTATATAATTTTATTTGTCTATTTCACCACACGTTCTTCTTACCGAGTCACTTTCTCAGTTCGATACTTAAAAGCAATGCCATTATTTAGCGTTGACAGAATTTCCAACTGTGATATAGATATGTCGTTGTCACAGACTAAACTCAATGTCTTGTTTTATTGACACCTGTGTGTCTGCCTGCCTGTCTGCTAATGACAATATTCAATACACAGCTGCTATCACTGACCACATGCAATTTGAACTTAACACCAATCAGGCTATACACCATAAACAAAATGCATTGATTTATGGCCCGAGTTCGGTCTCTGTCACATTATGTAATTACACAGACAGGCAGGTGTGATACTTGAACACATGACATGTTATGATGTCTGTTGATTGCAAAATGTTATACACAAAAAATGAGCATGTATCTACAAAACCCAACATCTCTATATATACACACACAATGACCCATCAGGGCATCTGCAAATGAACCAGCCGTTACACTTGAGTGCACACCCACCCGCTCTGACTGGGTTCGGTATCCCGGCTGCTTCGTTTCTTGGGAAGTAAACCGAAGTAAACAATATTGCACTTTTGATTTGCGATTGTACGCTTATAATTTTGTTTATATGTTTTTGTCATAACCAGCAATGTATATTATATGTCATGAATAAGTGATAATTGTGTTTTAATTATGTTTGATTTTTTGGTTGCATGTGACCTTTAAGTCTGGGCTAGTACAAGCAGCCGCACAAACACATACACACGCATGCACGTCATATGAGCGAAATATTCTCAAGCACAACGTTAAATCCAATCTCACCTCACCTCTGGAAGCAAGGCAATATTATGACATGCTTCATGGTGTTGATCCATGGTGTAGTGGATAGAGCGTCTGCCTTGGTCAGTGGTGTGATTACCTCGTTGCTATCATACAAAGGTTGTTAGAAAATGGTACTTTGTGTTACACTGAGCTTGGCATTAAGGGAATAAAACAGTCTTCCACAGATACATACACACAAGATCATGCGTACACGCACACGCACGCACTCATGTACACACACAGTGCAGGCAACAGAACCCCATTTCACCTCATTGCTGATGCATGGTGATCTTGTTGATGTTTTAATAGTGTTACACATCTACCAGCTGTTGACTTACATGAATGTGACATTTACTGAAAACTGGACTGAGATTTTTGTTTTGGGTTGGTATATTTACTAACCAAGTATAATGTGTGATGAGATAAAATCGTGGTCTTGTTTTCATTATAATGAACATTCCAGCTGCTCATTATGATCCACATGCCCTTTGTAAATTCTACTAGCCACGGACTTGCAGGCAATCCTGTCCAGTGACTGGAAACTATAACCATCCTCTTCATCAAGGAATAACAGATTAGTTGTTGGAAGGAGTGTATGTGGTCATTGTGTGCTTGACTTGGCTATGTCTGGCCTCTCTCTCCAGATTCAGAACTGCTCTCAAGGGATTTTGTCACATGGGCGGATCCAGGATTTTGGAGACGTGGCTGGTGCACATAAGTCATGAAATCCAATGGTTAGGGGGAAATGCTCCTCAGGGAAAAAATGTTCGGGTGAGAAAAGGGGATGTGCACCCCTGCACCCTCCTATGGATCCGCCCCTGTGTCACTTATGAAAACATTTTGTTGTCTCATGGCATCAAATGGTACACTTGAAATATGCATTTGAAATTGGTCATATAATCAAAATTAGAATGGTCCAACACCATCCCCTACATCGTAGTCTACAGTGTTGCCCCGAATCCATCTCTGTATATGTGTGTAGTTTGTACAACATAGTCAACAGATGCTTCCACCTTTGAGAACAGAATGCATCATCCCAAACATATGTGGAATGTAGGTAAACTGCTTGAATTATTGTCAGCTTCTTCAGCTGTGTATTGGCAAAAATATTGTATTGTGATATATTGCAGTATAGCTATATGTGTATTGTGATATATTGCAGTATAGCTATATGTGTATTGTGGTAAATCGGTTGTACATGCAGGACCTATTTCCTTCATACTAAAGTAAACATTACCATGTCAAAGCCAGCATGGTCAGTTGCCATGGTGTTGTAGCTATGGATACAAGGGAGTTAACAAGGGAGAATATAATATATTGCAGTATGGTTTGAAACTGTCAGGCTGTATAGTGATGTACCATGTAGTTGTGGATGTAAACATTGTGGTCATTAGGTACCCCTACAGTATATCACGCAGGACTGCGCCCAACTACGATACAGTCTATACTGACTTAAAACATTATGAATGTAATGCAATATGTTCCTGTTTTAAGAGGGGCGGTGAGGTAGCCTAATGGTTAAAGCGTTGGCTCGTCACGCCGAAGACCCGGGTTCGAATCTCCACATGGGTACAAATGTGTGAAGCCCATTTCTGGTGTCCCCTGCTGTGATGTTGCTGGAATATTGCTAAAAGCGGCGTAAAACCAAACTCAGTCAGTCAGTCCTGTATTAAGCACCCAAGAGGCCACTTCATGGCACCATCTACTGATTATTTGAATGTACAACAGGTGTCGTTATTGAGTTTATACCTTGTTGATGACTTGTAGTGTAAATGCTGTGTTAGACAAGATACGCAAGGAGAATACATGTTAGCATCTTGTCGAAAAATGCTGCATAAAGTAAAAAATCCAGTTACTGACTTTCGTTATGTTAGTTTATTATTCTATCCACTATGTGGTACTTATTGATAGTAGCTCTGATACACGTTCAAGAACAAAACATAAGCATGGAGGGGTTTGAAATTACAAAGAGTTACGTCCCTTTGACCAGGGAGGGCAGTGGGAGATAAGTGTTACCTCCCTTTACCTGTAGATCTTGCACAGTTTGCAAATGGCAGCAAAGCCACAATAACTATGACGGATGTTGCACACTGAGTTTGTTTTTGAGAGAAATAATCGTTGCTTTTGATAGATGTTGAAAGTACATCTTTTAGATGTTTTAGAGATTTTTTCAACTTAAGGGACATTTAACTAGGTCTGCAGACAGGGTTGACCACCATCAGCAGAATATTAATTGGTACAAATATGGTTTCTGTCATTCTCACTGAATGTTTTAAAGTTCAGCTTCATGGTGATGGCTAGTCAACTGTTCCATTGTTTTTTCATTTGCAAAGCAGTTCACAGCAGTGTGTTATGAATAATTAATGACGATGATGTCAGGAGTGGTTTTCGACAATAGATTTATGAGCTGGTGTCTCCAGTTGTCATCAGTAAGCTCAGATTTTTTTACAGTTGGCAAGGAAATAATTCAGGCACTTAGAGGATTAATTCGCTTTGGACAGACAGTCCATATTTTTTTCTTTCATGGGTTTTACATAGCTTAAACCTGATCAACTGACTCATTTGTAAATCATGTTTTCAGAAAAATCTACTTCCAGACAATGTTTGTGCTGGGTACCCAAGTGGCACCGTTGTATAATTTGTTGTGCAGTGTTGTTTTCCTTGGGTTTGAATCCTGTTTGCCTTGATTATATTTCTGGGTTTGTCAGCACCTTGAGTTTCACCAAAATAGTAAACAGTTAAGACCTGTACCACTGCCATCGTTCCTCCCTCGTCAAGCTGACACCCCATCATATAACTGGAATACCATTCAAAAACACAATCTGTTACAAACATTGCTGTTAGATACAAATGAACTTTGTGCCATGTACTTATGATGCTGATCTGGAAACTTTCTGAACCTGTTGATTTCATTTAGGAAGGAACTCCATTGGGATTTGTAGTAAGGATTGAGTAAGTGAGTTTAGTTTTACACCACTTTTAGCAATATTCCAGCAATATAAAAGACTGAATTACTCATCAGTCTCATTCAGAAATGGATTTTGAGTATTTTGCAGTTATACATTATGAACCTAAGTCTAAATATACAAGGAACGGTATTTATGATGAGATAACGAGGATGACTTGTGTACCTCAGTACTTGTTGACCTTGTATTTTGGGCTAATTTAATTCTCCTCTTGAAACAGTGAAATTACACTTTTATTAACACACAATTTTTCGTTCATCTGAATAGGTGCAAATAGAAAGGCTTCCGACTATTGTAAACTGTGGGCATACTGTGGGCATGTGGGTTACAACTCCTGACAGTTCTGACAGTCTGTGTTAGGCCTAGGACAAGTGCAGAAACACATGATTTGACACTGATACATTTCATGATATGAGCATAAATGTGAGGGAAATGAGCAGTTATTGTCTGACAGGTGTCAAAAGTATCAGCACAGTCTGTGTTGGGGGACCTTCACTCAGTATGTAATGGGTCCCACCTGTGAGGTAGACCAAGGTATGGTGTGATAGCTCCTGAACACCAACCAC